TGAGGGAATGAAAATCAAAACTAAACACATGCTAGATGTGCCTAATATCATCAAAAATATACTCACCAAGAATGTTGTTCCAATTAGTGGACATGTCAATGAGGTAACCTCATTCCAACTCTTCTTGATTTACTACATACTAGTTACTCGTAGGCTTAGTCTACCATACATCATGATGTAATTCATGAAACTAGTAGACAAATGTGACAGTAATCTTTCCTATGTCATATTTCTTACTAAAATGTTTGAGAAATTTGAAGTGAATCTTAAACACGAGGAAGTAGTGACTGGGAAACTTTATTCGATAACACTACTTTAAAACTAATAGGAATGAAGACTAGAGAAGAAGTGATTGCTAAAGAAAAAAGAGTCATGGTGCCTAGTGAAGAAGGTGATGACACTGAGGAAATGGAAGAGAACTTTGTCAAATGGAACATTATGTCACTATAAGGGATACTGAGCCTCTCTACAAGTCAGTGGATGTGCTTACTCCTAGCATGATGAGTCTTCACACTAAGGTGGATGAAATATTGAATTATCTTCACACCCAATTTGGACCACCTCTTCCTCCTCCTCCTCTTTACATGGGATGATATTTGGGATGTTTCCCCCTCGTTCTTATATTGTTTCTTTTAGGATGATGGATGCTTTTAATTTGTATAGATATTTTAAAGTTTATGTTGGATGGTTTTTAAGTTTTGAGGGATTTTTTAAGTTTAAAATTGTGAAGGATGGTATTTTCAACTCTTATGGAATGATGGAAATTTTTAATCCTATTTTTGACAGATTTTTCTTATATATGGAAGTTAGCAACTTCCTATAGTAAAAGTTAGTGATGTGATATGATATAGTAGACCTAAGAATACCATATAAGATATGTTATTTGGTGGGTTTTGCAAATTCATGACATATGTTGCACCTTTTCTTCTTTGAGCTTAAATTCAAAACCTTATAAATAAATTCATGAAGAATTGATATAAAACGTATATGTAATACATATATTCTTGGTGATTAAGGAATTATAATATTATGGATTACATATAGTAGTTCTCTATCCTTGGTAAGTGATTGATAATGGCTCGATTTACTTTTGATGATGCCAAAGGGGGAGAAATATGTGTTATAAAAAATGTTCAATTGAAATGAGGTATATACTCAAGGGGAGCATTATTGAATTGCATGTCTTACACTTGCATGTTTATTTGAGGATGTTTGTCATCATCAAAAGGAGGAGAATGTTGACTCGATGATTTGATGAGCATAATTTTGATTAGGGGTGTCAATAGTGTCATGTTCTTGTAACCCACATGTTGTGTTATTTGTGTCGTGTCATTGTTATTCGTGTCTTGTTCGTGTCAAGACCCACCCAAAAAAATATATTTAGTGTATTCTGAGTATTAAATATTAGTATAAACTATTTATTATGCGTATTTAATAATCGTGTTAATTTTATAATCGTTCATGTCGAGTTCGTATCAACGGGTCAGAATTAATACCCCTAATTTTGATGGTCACAAACATCCTAATATGGACTAATATTTGCATTAGTATATGGATGAGTGTAGATTCAAGTTTAAGTATGTGTCACAAATTGAATAAGAAAAGAAAGAAAAATGCGTGAAAGAATTGCGACAAAAGACTTAAGTAGAATTGTATTTCAGAAGGGTTATCCAGAATTGTGGTTGAAGATGAAGAGTTAAGGAAACCAAGTGCATCAGGAAGCTTATCCACAGCTCTGGATGTGCATCCGGAAGGCTACTTCGGAAGTCCTATTTTATTATCTAGAATTCATGTTGAGAAGAATTTAGGAAGGACAAAGAGCAAAAGTAGAAAGGTCTTCCATACACTGTTCATTCGGAATTCTAGATGAACACCTAGAAGCTCTTAAAAATTCTCTGGAATTACAGATTTTAGGGATCCAAGTAAAAGTCAAAACGGTGGGTTTGTCCGCAAGTCTAGATGGCAATCCAAAATTCCGGATGTAGTTGTTATGCTTACATTGGCCACATCCAGAAAACTATCTAGAATTTTGAATAAGCTTCCTAACGTTTTTAACTGTGTCGGCTTCCATTCTCTCACCCAAACTATAAATAGGGTCTTGGGAGATTTGAAGAGTAAGTTTTTGACTTTAACCTTTGAGCAAAAATAAAAAGAGAGATTCATTGGCTTTTGTCTACATCTTGTGAAGAAGATTCTTGTGAACTTTCTAATCTCTTCTCTTCTATCCTCTAGTGATTTGTGAAGTTATTGTACTGAGAGAATATTCTTAAGAGAGAGAGATTGTTAAATGTTGTTCTTGAAGTCTACTAAAGAGGAGTTTATTATTTGTATCAAGAAGAAAAAGCATGTAATGGTTTCATTCTCACTCGTTGAAGAGGATAAAGCTAGTGGAAAGGGAAACTCCAAGGGGAAGAAGAAGAGAGGATGTATGCTAAGTGTTTTGGGGTTGAACCTCTATAAATTGTGTTTGTATCTTTCTATTTATTATCTTATCTATTGTTTGCCTACATTTTCATTCATTACACATTTATTGCACACTCCCTTACCTTCAATCAAAAATAATTTTGTAAATAGCGATCTTGTTTTGTAAAGACTTTTTGACAAGTAAAAACCTAATTCACCCTCTCTTAGATTGCATTTGGCCCAACAAAACATGGTGAGACCTAGTCATAGTTGTCTCGATTAAGTAGAATGAACAATCTGACTTGGGTTTGTGTGGGGGATTTTAATGAAATTGTTGCACATAGTGAAAAGAAAAGGAGGGAAAAGAGGAATAATTGACAAATATCGGCTTTCCAGAATCCATTAGATAGTTGTACTTTGACGAATTTGGGGTATGAGGAGTATCTTTTTTACTTGGTGCAATAATTGGAAGCAACCGTGCACTATGTGGAAAAGACTTGATAGAGTGTGCACAAATTTGACTTGGATGGAAAAATTTTCAAATTCAAGAGTGTCACAAATTTTCCAAACAGTCAAATCACTACAAAATTCTCTTGGATAGTGAAAGAGGCAATCATCTAATGCAAGACATTTAACTGTAATTTTTTTTTTGGTTTGAAACAGCTTGGGTAAATAGAGGGGATAAAGCCTATATGGTGGGTTCAACTCCCACAAGAGTGCACATTAATTACCAATCAGTTGCTTTTCATTTAAGGAAGGGCATGATTGAATGAATCAACTATTAAATTTCATAGTAAATCAATCGACTATATGACATCTATTTGTCAAGTGCAAGAGATTTTTGAGGTCACATTTTATCTTCTTGGAAAGATGGGAACAAAGGATACTGTCAATAATAATTGATAATGGAATTTCCGTGGTATGTACCACATGGTTGTCAAGCTGTGAAGGCCCCTTACTATAAATTTACTGATTAACAAATCTATCGTAGGCCCTATGGGGCAGTTAAATAAAAAAAAAGGGAATTCTTGAATTTCTAACTGACAGTCCTCATAGAGAATAGTATAGCAGTAGCTTCCAAGCAACAAAAACAAGCGATTATAACAAAATTAGACGAGTTACTTGATATGGAAGAGACAAATTGACATCAATGGTCTAGAATTCACTAGTTAAAGGAGGGAGATAGAAATTCAGCATTTTTTCAAGTATACGCATCTCAAAGGAGAAGAAGGAGCTCAATTATTTGGTTAAAAAATGACCATCGGGTTTGGCGTGAGACCAAAGTCAAGACAGAGCAAGTTGTTGTAGGGTATTTCAAATCATCTTTCTGTTAGACTACAAAACCACGATTTGGAAGTGACTTTAGGCAAAAGTGAATTGCAAAGTGTCAAATGAAATGAATTCCCAAATGTAACCACAACTATTTCCCAAATGTATCCTACAAAGTCCCCGGGCTTAATGGTATGCCACCACTTTTTTTCCCAGAAATATTGACATATAGTTGGGTCTGATGTTTTAGATAGTGTCTTTCCTTTTCTTAATGGTGGTTAGTTTCTTTTCGGGAAAAAAAATGCATGCATTAATCTATATCTATATATATATCTATACTTCTTATAAAATATCAGTATTTGCAAAAAAAAATTGATTTCATATTTTATCTCTAATTATTACTATAAAATCAGTTATACCCACATATTTACTTTCATTCAATTTTTATTTTCTTTACTTATTTAACTTCTAAGTTCTTTTGCACTCTTATTAGTCTCATTTGACTTCCAAATTCTTTAAAGTCATTTATTAGTAGTACATATATGTACAATTTTTTTATATCTATATGTAAAAATAAAGTTCAATCTATATTTTATTATTCTATATATATAATTGTCAGATTGGATTTTACGATTATGTCATACTTAATTTTTTGATACATAACAATATCATAATATTATAATACAAATAATAGTATTACAATTTAAACAATCTCTTTGACAAAAAATGTAATAGATATATAACGCATTTAAATCTATAATATAATTAGATGTAAAATATTCGAGAATGACAATCATACAATAAAAATTTATTATAAATAAAAGAAGAAATATTTAAAGAGATTAAAGAAATATATAAAAAAATGATAAATTAGGTACTCAAAAAAAAAAGATCAATAATTAAAATAAAAATTAATTATTCAACATATTATTTATCAATATAATTTAAATATTTTTAAAAAAATTATTATTTAAATATGCAACATTTCGTGTATTACTATTTGAACAATAATATTGAAACTTAATTTACTATATAATTTATTGATCTAATTCAATAAAATTTCTAATTCACTAAAATAATTTACTATTTGAGCAATAATATTTTAATTCACTGTGATCTGGATCGATCGAAAATTCCATTAAATATTAAAATTTGGTGTCGCAAATTAAGCCAAATTTTAATTATTCTTACTATTTACCGTCGATCATCTGCAACAGCAGGTTTTGGCGCCGTCTCAACTGCCCTCCGGACACCGAACCGAACCCCCAACTTCTTCTCTTACGATGTGACTATCTCCTAGTTTCTTCCTCTAACCACCAAAACCAGCCATGTCCTCATCCAAAACCCTCACCATAGACACACCGACTTTCTTCATCACCTCCCACAACACACTCTCTTCACAATCCCCACAACCCTCTACACCACCCCTCTCTTTCTCTCTCCTCTCCACTGACTCTCCTCTCCCTCCAATTCCCACAAACTTCCCCCAGTCCAAACTCATCCCCAAAACCCGCTTCATCATCGACGGCTTCAAATTCTCCGGCGATTACTCCATTTCGTACTTTCTCTCTCATTTCCACTCCGATCACTACACCGGCCTCTCCCCTACTTGGTCCAAAGGAATCATTTTTTGCTCCCACACCACTGCGCGCCTTCTCATTGAAATACTCAAAGTACCAGAACCTTTTGTTCTCGCGTTATCGTTATCTGAGCCGGTTTTAATTGATGGGTGTGAGGTTTTGTTGATTGATGCGAATCATTGTCCGGGGGCTGTCCAATTTTTATTTAAAATTCCGGGGAACGATGGGAAGTTTGAGAGGTATGTACATACTGGTGATTTTAGATATTGTGATTCAATGAAATCAGGACCTTTGTTAAGTGAATTTATTGGTTCTGATGCTGTTTTTCTGGATACTACTTACTGTAACCCAAAATTCGTGTTTCCTTCGCAAGAGGAGTCTATTGATTATATCGTTAGTGTGATAGAGAGAATTAAGGTCGAAAACGAGGGTAATTTGAAGAATGTTTTGTTTCTTGTTGCTACTTATGTTATTGGGAAAGAGAGGATTTTACTTGAAATTTGGCAGAGGTGTAATAAGAAGATACATGTTGATGGTAGAAAGTTGGCTGTTTTGAGTGTTTTGGGGTTTGGCGAAGATGGGGTGTTTACTGCGGAAGAATCTGAGAGTGATGTGCATGTTGTTGGGTGGAATGTGTTGGGTGAGACTTGGCCGTTTTTCAGACCGAATTTTGGGAAAATGAAAGACATCATGAATGTGAGGGGGTACTCTAAGGTCGTGGGCTTTGTGCCGACAGGCTGGACTTATGAAGTAAAGAGGAACAAGTTTGCTGTGAGGACAAAGGATTCCTTTGAGATACATCTAGTACCTTATAGTGAACATTCGAACTACGATGAGCTTAGGGAGTATGTGAAATTCTTGAAACCAAAGCGTGTAATTCCCACCGTTGGGGTGGATGTTGAGAAACTTGATAATAGCAAATATGCTAATGCAATGCTGAAGCATTTTGCTGGGTTGGTTGATGAAATGGCCATCAAGCAAGAATTTTTGACTGGGTTTCATCATGGAGCCCGGGAAGTGGATGAGAAGCTTGAAAAGGATTGCCCCACTGTCTCGAACAATGTGTTAGATGAGGGTAGGGAACTAAGTTCAGCAGAACCGAAACCCAACAATGATGTGGAAAGTGTTACTAACTCTGCATTTCCTCTGCGAGTACCTGATTCCAAAAACAGCAATGGATTAAATGAATATTTGACAGAGGAAAGTATACAAGAACTTCGAGATTGTTTGCCAACTTGGGTCACCCAAAATCAGATGTTGGATCTGCTCAGTAGCTCAGGTGGAAATGTTGTTGACGCAGTTTCTAATTTTTATGAACATGAAACCGAATTTCATGATCAGGTCACTGCTAGTACATCTTCTGCTTGTATACCCCAGACAAGCTCATTTGACGAGTCTGCAGCACCTTCTGATTCACGTATTTTTAACAGCTCTCAGAGAAGTGAGGATGTATCTTTAAGTCACAGTAATAAATTACCTAGCATGGTGCATTCAGCTAAAACCTGTGTTTCTCCTGCCAAAAGGGGGAAAAATCCTGAGAATAAGCCATACAAGAAAGCAAGAATCAAATCAAGTTTGGCATCTAGTGGACAAAAACAATACACAATCACAAGATTCTTCAGTAAACTTGTGCCTATTGTCTCTCAAGGTGGTCAGCTTGAATCTATGTCTGAGCAGAGTCAGAAGAATACAGATTTGCTGTCAAATGACACTTTTAATTTATGCAAAGGGGTGGTGGACCAGTTTATTCATATTGTAAATGGAAGTGAATCATTGAGAAGCTATGCTGCCACAATCCTAGATGAAACAAAAGGAGATATAAATAAGGCACTGGACGTGTATTATAGTAGCCCTGAGGGTAGCCTTGGTGAGAATAAAGAGAGGTTGATAGAGAAAAGCAAATTGGTTCAATCTCAATGCCACACTGGAATATGCTCATCCAACCAAGGGCCTAAACCATTAGAGAGACTGGGAAATATTACTGAAAGGTCTACACCAGGACTATCGACAGACAATGTGGCTGTGAATTACATATCACTACCCCCAGAGAAATATTCTCCTAGAGAGCATGGTTGGTTTCTGTTCATTTGGTTGAATTTTATTAGTTCCCTAACTTCCTAGAATATATGCTGACAACGTGTGTTAATCTCCAATTGGAAAGTTTGCATGATACTGAGATTTATGTGCAGCATGCTGGAGGGATGGAGAGCCTGCTCCATATCTACATCTTGCACGAACTTTTGACCTGGTTGAGGATGAAAAGGGAAAGATAAAAGCCACATTAATGCTTTGCAATATGTTCAGGAGGTTTGTTTCCATGGACTGCAGAATTCCTTTTCTCCTACTTCACCTTCATAAGGAATTTCATCACCAATGAAATGGGTTGCATGACATCAGTCATTAAGTTATTGGGATATGCTATTTACCTGGAGCATTCCTTATTGCAGCTTGCTGGCCTTGTCTCCAGAGGATGTGCTACCTGCCGTGTACTTGTGCACAAATAAGATTGCTCCTGACCATGAAAATATGGTTTGTGTATTTCCATGTGTGTTCTTTATGTTTCTGCTGTTTTACTGTGTTGGGGCCATTGATTAACTAGTATACAGATAATACTGTGGCAATTTTTTTGGCCAAATGAAATTCTTTGTCTTCATTTAATTTTCTCGAGGCCGGCTGTGGTGAACTGAAGTTTTTTATTCGTCTGGCAGCTGTTAAAAGACTAGCTATCGGTATTCCCACCCAAAAATTTATACCATGTAGTCTCATTACTTCCTCACGTCAGAAATGTTTGGCCGGGGGGCAGACCCGTAAATTCGAATTCATGGGCCTTGATTTTATAAGTGGGTGTTCCATTCTCTGTTTCATTAATTCAAAAGAACACCCTTCAAACTTCTCCATTCTTTTGGTCATGGTTTATATACTTTTAACTCCATATTTTTTTTAAATACGAAATGAATGGTCGAGTGAAGCTTTGATTGAGAAGGAACTTCAAAGTGGTTTGTTTGTAGTTCACGGGATTATTGAAATGGCCCTTTTTGATAGGATCTATGACCCTGTTTCCTTTATGAAATTTATAAATATGGATATGGATTGTCCATGCTTCACATATTAAAGAATGTAAATTTTTTTTTTTTTGTTTTATGTCCCAAATACTTAGTATCATCATGTTGTAGAGGATGAAACATCATAATCAGTGCATGGTGAATGAAATTCCACATGAAAATCATATATTATCCATGTAGATACGACACCCGAGAGTTAGAAAAGGTTAATTTGGTTAAACTAGGGTCCTAAGATGAAAGGAATATAAATATTGTGGGCGGTCTGGTGCATTTCTAATTAGAGAATGATGCAAGGCGAAGATGGTTAATGGGGGGATGTTAAAATATGGCCATTGAAAGAGATCCGTTATGTAAAGATCTATGTTTGATTAAGGATTGTGTGTGAACGTATCTTGTCACATGGATACCAGGCAATGAAAAGCCTAGTAGACCACATCAGAATAATGTTCAAATCTGATAAATGGATTTTATGTCGACTGGGTGGACTAATTATTTTGGTGGAATATTTCTGCATTACTGTGGTTTTTGGGAGCACGAAATATTAAATTTATGGTAATTCAAATCTATATCATCACTGTGTGCTTGCAAGTCGTACCTTCAATAACATCGACTATAGAAACTTCTACCTAACCCCCCCCCCCCCCCCCCAAACAGAAAAAGGTCATCCATCTTATGAGTTGAGTTGGTGGAGTGGCAAGCCATTTAGCAATTTATTTGGTGAAATGCTACTTCCTCACCTGTAAACATTGGGAATTTGTGTTGTGTTCATGATGCAGGAACTGAATATTGGTGGAAGCATAGTTGTAGCAGCACTTGAGGAGGCGTGTGGGACTAACAGATCTAAAATACGGGATCTGTACAACAGCTTAGGTGATCTTGGTATGAACAGATGATTTTCATAATTTAAGAATTTGGTATGCTAACTGTTTTTATTTACAAGGTTCTAATGGGTTTATCATGCTAAATACATTAATCTGAATAAGGTGATGTTGCTCAACGCTGCCAACAAACACAGTCATTACTTGCCCCTCCAGCTCCTCTTTCTATCCAAGGTGTTTTTTCGATGCTCCAAAAGATAAGGTATGGATTGCTGATTTATGTATATGATCTATAGAAAAATGTCAAAGCTATGTAATACATTGACCTCAGTATAATCTGAGAAATTAAAAGCTGGTACATGCTTCCCACCTACTCATCCCGGTTTTTTCCCGCGAGGTTTTACATTGGCATGAGTTCTGGGGTAAATTTTTCATGGTCCAAACCACTTTGTTCTTCTTTTTCTCAAATATATTTCAGAAAGGTTTTGTCACTCCTCAACCATTCATCCATACTAAGAATATCTTCGCACATGGTCTGGTAATATTAATTGTTCAATATTTTGGGCTGAATTTATCTCTTGAATGATTATACCTGCTGAATGTGTTTGAATTTTTTTATTTTTTTTGTAATGCAAAAGAGAGTGTCTGTTAAATGGTTAATCTTTTCAGTCTCATGGTTTCATTTTGCTGCTAATACAAGGAAAAATACCAAAATTTTTCTTTCTTGATCTATACAATAGATGAAGTTGAACTGGGTTGAAAGAAGAACATGCTGTGAAAGACTGTAAAAAGTTTTTTTATAAAAATAATACAGTAAATGGTAATGCATTCAGCCAGGTTCCAGCAAATTTGCATTTTGCCCCGTTTATGGGTGTTGAGGGGTATAAGAGTGCTAATTGTTGTCACTTTTCTTGTCGTTTCTTGAATAATGAGATGGAAATCGTTTCATGGTTTTTAATGGTCATGAAACATTATTTTGGTTCATTCTAGAAAAAATGTTACTATTGACATTGAAATCTTTAGTTATTTGGTATTTACTTGCAGATTCTCCAGCTAAAGCTGGTTCTTGTACATATGTTTGTTTATGATAGAAAATTTTTATTTCTTTGGTTTTTTTTAATTCTAAGTATTACCTTTTACATTGAGATAATGAATAAACCAGTAATAGTGCTAGTGTGCTTGTCTGTAATGTAAGGTATTAGATTCATTCTAATTATTTTTCTATAGAATTTGTCAGTGTACAAACAGGTAGTGGAAGTACCGTTCAAAAGAAAAGCCTCATTGTGAATCTCATGTGCTCATGTAGAGAGAAGGAGATTAAGTTTCTTGTCAGAACTTTGGTAAGTTCTTATTTTTAATTAAATATATTAACTGTTGCTATGGTATTGCTGCGACTGTAAGGTCAATTAAAACAACAGTCTTTTTACCTAGGACAAACAACCGAAGTAAACTTTTAAGTGAGGTATTGGACTTGTTAATGGTGGCCATTTTGTTAGACAATTCAAACAAAGAAAATGCACGTTGGTGCTTGTTTGGTGTAAGTATGATGTTGATTGTCAAGAACAAATAAAGACATAAAATTCAAGATTCATTATTGGGTATTATTCTGTCAGATATTTATTAAATATCATGTAAGTTTTTTGAGAGTATAAGTGATGCCGCACCACAAGGAGAATAAGTTCAGAGAACAAAAGGGGCAATTGATGGAGATTGGGAGAAGAATAAGTTCAGAGAACAAAAGGGGCAATTGATGGAGATTGGGAGAAGAGAGGTGAGAAGCTAAGAAGCACGGACACAGACGCAAACACTGGACATGGACGCGGACACAGGACACGGGACACAGATACGACACGGATACGCCGACAAGAAATTTTTGAAAAAAGTAGGACATAAACATGTTAGCGATACATTAAATAATAATCTTTTAATTCATCATTTCTCTAATTCAAAAATTTTATATCATGATATCATTGCATAAAAAGTACAATATAAGATATACCGATAAACATTTAATATTAACATCCATGATCCAACAATCAATGACTACTACAATTTTTATTTTTAAAAATATTTCACTTCATAACACTAATTTTCATCAATTTTCAAGGGTCCCAATTTTGTAATCCAATTTTTTCTAATATTACTTTTTTAATAAAAGTTTATGCCATTTGTATATAAGTTCGAATTCGTATCCATTCATGTTCTATGTTTAATATAATGATTATAATTTCTTTTATATTATGATTGTGACTCATATCCCTTTAAAATTACAAAAATAACTCTTAATTATAAAATTATTTGAAAAGTTTCTTTACAAATTAAAAATAAATCTCAAAACATGTCCCCAGTGTGTCGGCCGCATGTCCCAACTTGTACTGAGCATATCCCCAACGTGTCCTAAGCGTGTCGACCATGTGTCCCTAACGTGTCCAGAAAAAAATTTAACAATAAAAGAATCGGACACTCATTTTAACGTGTTCAATACGTGTCCAAAGCGTGTCTGACACTAACATTCTGTCCAAAATGAAGTGTCTATTTCAAAGAAGAAGAAGAAGAAGAAGAGCAGAAGTAAAAGAAATGAGATTGGGAAGGAATGAGATTTTAATCACTCAATAATCAGGCTTTAGGAATAATCATTTAATCCCTTTGGTTTTAGATTGGAGTGAAGTATTTAGAATTTGGTTAATTATTACCTGTGGAGAATTGTATGTTTCTTCACCTAATCCTTGTGAAGATTTGGTAATCTCTTATGTTTTCTATTCTATTCTTCTCCCCCATCCTATTCTGCATCAAGATACTTTGAGAAAGAGGGGAAGTGACCGGAAATTTTTTGATGGGAGGGAAGTGACCAGAAATTGAATCATGCAAAATAAAAAAACCAGCCTCTTCAGTTGATTTATCATTCTACTTTAGTTCATGTTCTTGTGCAAGGTTTTTTAAATTAGGATCTGAACAGAAAAATGGAAAAGGAGAAAGTCAGGCATGGGAGGATGGGAAACCAATTGAGGGAAAAAAAGAACGAAGAAAAAAATTATGACAAGAGAGATATAGGCATATAGCTGGAGAGATAACATGAAGAAGAGAGATAGATAAGTTTTGGATGGAGGGGGGGAGGGAGGGAGGGAGGGAGGGGTGGGTGGGGAGAGAGAGTTCCCAAAAAGGGGAGTAAGAAAAGAGAAGAGAGAATGAAAGAGGAGGGAAGAATGGAGGACGTAGAATCTAATAGTAGAGGAATTTGAAAGATAATAGAGACTCAAATTTTAAAATTTCCTGAATCAATACTCTCCAAGTTAGTTAGATTAAAAAGATATTATGAAAACCCTTACTCGCACTCTATTAATTGGGCTCGTTTGGTAGACGTATTATGAGGGGATTAAATATTGGATTGTACTATTTTTTATTTAATCGGGTCTAATACTTTGTTTGGCAAGCAAATTTGATACCGTATTAATTTCAAAAACGTATATTAATCGTATAATTATTGTATATTTTTTATACGATAGACCTGTATAATGGAGGTCTTTTAATACTATCAAGAGTGGTGGTATTATAATCAAACTGAAACGTATTATTTTACACATTTACTATTATGACCCCCTAAGTGATAAAATCAAGTTGTTATCAACGTAACAAACACGGACTGAGGGTATTTTTGTTAATTCAATATTAATGCAATGAAATAATACTCTAATCAAATAATCGATTGGATTAAATAACTACTATCCAATGTTTATATTGTGTATTGCCAAATACTAGATAAAATTACGTATTGTTTTAATAATATATTTAGTCTTTTCTTTTATCCATCTGTATTGTATTAGACTATATTACTTTATCTAATCCATCCATTTTTAATATGGCAACCAAACGAGCCCATTGAATAATAGAATCTTCTGTGCCATATAAGACAAACTCTGTAAATTTAATGGGCATTCTTTATAACTATAGTTGTGCAATGTCAAACCTCAATGGACAAAATCCTAATTTTTTGAAAGCATTTGCTTCCCAAATTCTGAAAAATATAGTAAGATTCATTGAATCTTGCAATCTCACTAGGTGTTACCGGGTAACTTTTGTTTTTCTTTTGAGGTTACCAGTGAAGCGTTGCTATTGCAACCAGCCACACTCAAACTTAAGAATAAGGGACAGAAACTCACACAGAAGGCACACACGAATTTACTGGGACAACACTCCCAAACCTTATATATTGAACTCAACAATTTACAAGGACTCTCAAAGCCAGAACACTCTCCCTTTTTCAAAATGCTCAAGCACCCCTATTTATACAAGAGGAAGGCAGATGACACCCCTATCTGCCAAGGGGTAGTTACCCACGATTTTGCTATTCCATAGTATAGTGGGCTAGCAGGCTTGGTCTCTGTGCAACACCTGGCTGGCAGTTCCACCACTTCCAGTAACTGCTGTGGAACTGCCCTTCATCAGCATGTATCTAGACTGGATTCAGATTGGGGATGTCCAGAACTGCCTCAGCAACTGCCTTGACTGAGTCTCAGCATCATAACCGCCCACATTCTCCTGGTCACATGCATTAAGCAGCCATGTGCCAGTTAGGTGCCCACATTCAGCAGCCATGTGCCCACATTTAGCAGTCAACCTTGCTACACGAACCAATGTGCATACTGGTTTCAATCCATGCCATGCAATCCGAAGCTCTGCACCCACATTGCTTCAATTGAGCCCACCCATCCTGCCATGCTCAACCGGGTGGTCTCATGCTGCGTTGGTTCACCCCAATCTGTCAAACCATTTAGCTGCATCACCTTGATTCCGATTTTTGGCATGCCTTGGTGCAAGGTGCCACCAAGACCGGTCATTTGCACCCAAGTCAATTAGGGTGTGACACTAGGCTACTAAAATATTTTTGTTATATCTTTGTGGGTTCTTTGTATATATCTTATTCATTCATCCTATTGACCTTTCACACAATTTAGGAATATTTGTGCAGGGGTATACATTTATTTCTTCTCATTAAATAAAATTTGGTCCCGACTCTATAAGAGTAAGACAAGGCGGTCAATTTTCTTTAATCTCGTTGTTTGCTGCCATAATTTTAAACTCCATCTTGCTGTAGTGTTTTATTGATATTGGTACCATTACCATACTAGCGTATGCGGTTGCAGTTGCATTTTTCTAATTCAAGTGGAAAACAGGTTTATATTGTTTATATTACTGGCGTTGTGGATCAAATGCTAAGAGAAGATGTAAGCTACTTTGATGCAGTAGTTATGATTTGTAATGTTTAGTTTGTTTTGTGGAAACAAAATCTGTGGTGGGACTGGTTTATGGTGTTGAAATAAGTTGCATACATTTTGATTGTAATGCCATTTATAGTTGTTAAATCGTGTATCTGAGGGCATATTATTTTTTAAAAATAGTGTATCGTGTATCGTAAGACACGCGCAATTTTAAATAATTATTAATAAAATATATATATATATATATATATATATATATATACTTTTACAAAAAAATTATAGACTTATAATAATATAGCATTTTATTAATATTCCACCAACTATTCAAGTTCCCAATATAGTTCACTAATATCAAAATTCAAAAACCTCTAATTCAAACTTATAACATCAACTGCTTAAATAACATTTACATTAATCAGAAATTTTGATTCAATTGAACAACATTAACAACAGACTTTATTTGTTTTAAACCCTAACCATTGAAACGACATTGTTTCACTAGTTAGAGATTAAAAGATAAGTCCTGTGGGTGAAACGACTCCATTTCAGCCCCAAAAAACAAAATTAAAAAAATTAAAAAACCATAATCTTCACATATCATATGTATCGGACTATATGTTTCGTACGTATCGTATCGTATATTGTACAATACTGTACAAAAACGATATAAATACACGATTTGTATAGTTTTTTAGGTGTATCGTGACTTATCGCGCGATATGTATCGCGTATCGTGCGATACTAATAACTATGATGTTATAAAGTACGGATACTTCGTTAAGGTCGACATTCCTGTATCGGATACGATACTCGTCAGATACTCGATGATACGTATCGGATACGCATCATCCGTATCCGATAATTAATAAAATATGTGTATACTTTCGCGGATATTTCTAAATATGGAGTAAGATGTAAAATTTTCAATTTTAAGTTATACCTCTTCTTTGGAGTTCACATACAATATAAAACATCAACAAAATTCTATTTGATTTTGAAGACACAAGTATTTTTTAAGTATTATTTATTATTAAATGTTAAGAGGGTATAAAAAAAATGAGTCACACTATACTTTAAAAAATAAATACTTGTAAAACCAACTAGTTAAATGTTGTTATAATTCCTTCAATTGGTCATACTCATTTTATGAACATATCATAATGAGACGATATTACATCATTTTCACGGTAAAAATTCATAATTTTACTTACTAATGTTAAAAAATTATTGAAAAAATGTAATTTCTAAGTCATTAAATAATAGTAATATATAAAATATATTTTATTATAGACGTATCCTGACCGTACCCGTATCCTATTTTTTTAAGTTTTGTCGTATCGCCGTATCCGTATTATATCGTACCCGTGTCACTTATCCGTATCCGTGCTTCCTAGCTATGATGCCATTATAGTTATATTGTCAATGTAATCCCTAATGTGAGTTGAATGTCTGTTTTTGAGGAATGAATATCTGTGTCGAGACCAACATTTATATCATGCTGTTGTTTTTCACATAACTGTAGGATGAAAAAAAATGAATGATTGGGGCATGATCTTTATCTTTCTGGCTGCACAGTTGATTAGCATGATGAAAATTTGAATGATTGGAGCATGGTCTTTAAATTTTTGGATTCCCAGTTGTGCAGCTTCACTTTCCTTTGGTTTTTTTTTTTTTAGTATTTCTTTCCCAACTTATGAGTTTCTGAGTATTTTTATTCTATGTAGGTTAGGAATTTACGGATTGGGGCCATGATGAGAACCGTTCTGCCCGCATTGGCTCAAGCTGTTGTTTTGAATTCCTCTATTGATGGAGGAACATTTGGAAATCTGAAGGAACAGCTTCAGGTTTGTTTTCATTTGTGATCTGGTTAGTCATCCGACCGTGCTGTTTGAGTAACTGATCCGCTGTTTTCACATACTTTTCATTTTCAAAGAGGTTGATATTGTAGGTTAGTTGTCCTACGAATTTCTCGTTAGTGCTACCCATAGACTTACAAATGTAAAATCCTATGGTGAAATTTTTATCTGTGAAGGTAGAAAAAAAAAAAAAAACTTGGTCACTTTTTAGTAGTTCATATGACAAGAGCCACCAACTAATTCGTTCTGTTTTGCTACTAGTGCATGTCTGCAGCCGTAGTTGAAGCATATAATGTACTGCCTAATTTGGTGAGTTTTCTTATTTCTAGTTCTTGATCCTTTATTTTTTCACCTGCTTCATAAGAGAGTTTATAATGCAAATTTTATAAGCTACATGCTGCTGTAGGATGCATTGTTTTGACATAAAATGTAATCTTTGCAAATTATGCTATCGGATGAATTATGATGGATTCTGGAATATTTCTTGGTTGAATGCAAATAACAATAAACATGTCGTATGACTCATATCAAAGGTACTTGTTGCAATTTTTTTCTTGGAAGGGTGGAAAAGAATTTTTATTACAACTATCCCAGTTGGGAGATAGAAAGTGTGTTCTAAATGTTGAGTTCGAGAGATTAGTGTTGTCTAAATTTGATAAGGGCACAAGACTTACATTTTGAAAATGGAATTTGGAGAAATTTTTTACCTGATCAGTAACTTAAATATTATTTGTTTTGACAGTTTATATCCTTTCTGCTTATCTTTTCCTGGCTGTAGTTTTGGGAAGCCAGTCTTTTCTGCAACTCTGTCCACAGGTTTTAAGGCTTTGTAATTTGCTTATTTGGGTGTTTTGTTTGTTGGAAGGAGGGGGGAGGGGGGTGGGGTGGGGGGGGACGATATTTTGGCAATCAAGTAGAGGACTGGAGGACACTATTGCGATATTTGTTAATTGTTTGAATGTCTGATAGTCTTGAGTATAGATTCAACTGCTTTTTGATTTGTGTTTCCCAAAGCAAGGTAATAGTGGTTAAATAATTAAAAATAACTGTCTGTTACTCCATTGGTAATCTACGTGCTAACAGTAATTAGATTTTTATTGTGGACGTTGGAGGAAATATAGTTCTTTGTTATCCAAGCTGGCTAGAGCAGGTGATGCCGTCAAACTAGATGTTTTGGCTCTCAGGGAAGACTTTAGAGGCAGTTAATATGGGATTTCTAACTGTGATAAAAATGACCGTAGTAGTATGATGGAGCGGCTTGGTCCTTGCACTCTGTCTTCTTGCATCTATGATAATTTGTTTTGAGGGAATATTGGATTTATCTGCTTCACAAAACATGGAGGTTACGTAGATTCCTAGATTGGTCAATATTCAGGCAGATAATTTAGTCAATTAAGAGGGTAGATCATAGATGCTCTCAAGTCATTTGAAGGAATTTTTTGTTCACATTTAGAAGTGATGGGTTTCTCATTTTTGTTGGTGAGTTCTTCTACTGTCTTTTATGGCCCCATCCCCCCTCCCTCTTCTTTCTTTCTTACTACCTTTATTCATTTGCTAATAGTATTTTCGTATGAAAACAGTAGTGGATAAGTTTTGAGAATATTCTTGCATGTGTCCCCTCCCCCCTTTTTTCTTCTATTTAGGAATGGCATAATTTGAGGGGAGTTGTATATAAAGTCCTTAGTTGCTACTTTTGTTTTAATATGTTGACCGCTAAAGCGAACTTTCAATCTTGTCATGGTTTAAAGTCTTGTGGCTAAATGTTTGTCGTCATGTATGAGTCACTAGTTATGGATAGCTGGAGGGGATTTTAAGAATGATTATGTTGAGGCAAAAAGGGGATTCATTTCTTAATATATGCTAACGTGCAGATATATAGAATTTTCTTTCTTTGTCGAGTGATTTAGGAAGAAGTGGGTGAAGGGGAATAACACGGAAAGAACGGCATGGAAAAGTACTATACTCTAATCAACTTGACAAAGCAATTACCCGAACTTCTTGGGTCGGCCACCTAAGTCGAATTTTTCTTAATTTATCTCCTATTGATGCTTCTTCTACTATTCATAAATCTATCCTTCTTGTTTTACCATGCATATATTTTAACATTTTCATTTCTACAATATCCCATTTTTTGAACATGTTGTTTTTGAATTGCCAAGCATTTCGTAGCGTATAGCATTGCCGGTCTAATGGATGTCTTAAAAAACTTTCCTTTCAACATAAGTTGTATACGCCTATCACATAAAATGCTAGATGCATTCCTCCACTTAGCCCATTATGTTTTAATTTGAATGATTAATATCATCTTCAATCTCTCCCCCACTATGGATAATTGAGTCAAACTACCGAAAATATTCCTCATTGGTATCTCTTGATCTGTGGTCTTTACTGCCTCCTCTTTTGCCTTTCTACTATTGCTAATTCTACATTCCATATTTTTAGTTTTATTTTTACTTATCCTAAATCCTTTTGATTCTAAGGTTTCTCTCCAAACTTCTAATTTATTGTTAATTTCTACGTTACTATCATAAATCAATACTATATCATCCAGAAATAATATACACCATGGAACCTCTTTCTGATTATATCTAGTCAATTGATGCACAATCGAAACAAAGAGGTATGGACTTAGGGTAGAACCCTAATGTAGGGCTACAATGATTGGGAATGCACTACTTTCCCCTTTGGTGGTCCTAACTAAAGGGTGCAGTGACTTCAATGTGATGACACAATGAATGAAAAACTCAATAACCGTATGTCGGCAAATCCTTATAAATAGACAACAACCCCATCATACTATCTTGAAATGCCCTTTGTTAGATCTAGAAGCATCCTTGTGAAGCAATAATGAGACTTATTTTTATTGTTTTGTGAATATCTAAATCTTGATACTCAAGATCTGTTGACAATATCCTAACAATGAAAGATTACAAGGTATAGAAGTACCTAGTGTTTGTTTTATTTATTTGTTTATTTTCTTCCTCCTGCGGCTTAAGTGTTTGATATCTAGAGTCTAAATGCTATGATGCCATTTTATACTGTGGATGTCACTTATGCATTAATACGTTGTGAACAGAATCTGCTCATTCCTACTCTAATGGATAAAGGGACCAAATTTTCTTCGACAACTTTGTCAATGGTTCCAGGCATACCCATCAAGCCAATGCTGGCAAAGTATTGTACAGCAACTACTTCTATATCATTATTTTCTTTTAGGGTTACATATCGGTGCTATATCTTACTGTTCTGTTATTTGTTCCTTGTGATAGAATTACTAATGGAATACCTGAAGTGTTGAAGCTCTTTCAAAATAAAGCTTTTACATGTGAATATAAGTAAGTGTCGTCCTAATTTATTGTTTTCTTTTTCTGAAATTTGTTCCCACTTTGTACATGTTCGAACTAGCTGCTCGTATGCTCTGCAAGGAATTCTTACATTTTATACTAAAATATTTTTGCAGTAATGTGGTGAGATTATGTACTCTCTGGAGATATATCTAATATGTTTTTCCTGAAGCAATGTGCTAGAGGCTTTACTGCCTTCTACATTTAGACGGTGCTGTCTTGGGTATAATATTTGGAGCCAAAAAAAAAAGCTCTAGAATCTATTAAGCTTAACAAAGTTGAGATGTGGATTTCTAGGTAGCCATTTTTTTTTTCTCTGTTTTTGGGTTTCTCTTTTGGTGTCTTTACCTAAGAAGTTTGAAGGTTTTCTTCGCGGTTATTTCCTAAGGGAATGGATTGTGGCCATGGTTCAAAGTACCCACTGAGTTGTATCCAAGTCGGCACCTTTCGATCCGATACTGTTTTTGTTCCACGCATCCCACAATTCTCATGTAACTTGGCCAGTTATTTGAGACATCTCCAAGTCAATGCTGGGTGGTCCGAGTCAGTGTTATCGAATCGGCTGATACTAGTTTATGACTGTGACCTGGCCTAATTACTTGCCACATTTTACTTCTTTTCTTTAGCATTTCATGCATACCATCTAATAACGAGTGTGTCTTGGTACTCTCCAAGCTGATGACAGTTACAGATACCGCGACCTTGAATCATGATTGTGTCTAATAGGATGAGGAGAAAGTTTTTTCCGATTTTTGGGTTTTGTTTGGGAAAGTTTAGATTCATTGGTTATGCCAATGGAAGCCCAAGTTTAAAGAATTGAAAGAGATTGTCTGTTAGCATCTTTTTCTAATCTGATCAGTTTTGGGTTTCCTATAAAAGGTGGGGATCTCGCTTTTCAAAGGAAAGAAAGTCTGAGTTAAATGAATTGTCAAGTTATTGGAGCTTGATACTATGCTCTTATGCATGAGGTTACAGATTTAGCGTCTTTTTTGTATTGAGGATCAAATAGCTTCCTATGGCTAAACAATGCTGTGAGTGCAAAGTGTTGCTGGGCCATTTGTCATGCCAAAAGGCATCGCCAGCAACTCTTAGATTCCCATCGTGCTTCTACTGCATCGATAAACCATATGGGGCCTTTGATGGCTTTAGAGTTAAGAAATCTGGCATGCAGAAACTATGAGGCCCTCCTAGTTACTTTGTTTGACTGAAAAGGCAAACAGTCCACCACAAAAAAAGAAAAAGAAAAAAAGGGAGTCTTTATGGGGTGTTTGTCATAAGCTGCCTTGATAAAAGGAATTGCTTTGAAAAAGGGCAAAACCTATACCTCAGTGGTCTAGTTCCATGGCACCGTAAATATATTAGGGCTTAATTGATTCACTGAAGCGACAAGACCTTGAAATGCTGCGCCTTAATGAAAGACCTTACCTTCATAAAGACTAAAACCGATCTGCTGACCTAAGGTTGACAAAGGTCTCACTGAATAAGACAGTCCACTGGCAATAGATCAAAAAGGATTCTGCATTCAATAATCAAATTCCAGCTTCAAACCTTGTAGTTGGGGTTAGCTTGAGGTGCAAAGGGTTATCAAGTTTTCCATTGCTTTTGATGAAGGAATAGAGTTGCATTTTGAAGGAAGTTGTTTTCTTTCTTTTGTTTGAGTTGGTCTGAGGTGCAAAAGATTTCCAATTCCTTCTGAATTTGTATAGCTGTTTCAGGCTATAGCTAATAAAATCAGATGTTTCTTATTGAAACAAGGAGGTATGCAAGAGAACCTGAACTGCTGATTTTCTTTTCTACAATCTCATTCTAAATAAACACCAAAATGTAAGAATTGCCCCAGGAAAATAAAATTGTTTAATAAGTATCAATGTTGGTGGTTATATTTTACAAAAACCCATATTTTGTGTTATTTGAGATCATTAGTGTTGTAATTTTTCTTGAAAGTTTTTTTGCTTAAAATCCAGCCCTTTTAAGACAGACAATTTTGTTTAATTCTGACCAGGATGTGTCAATTTCAACTGGGTTTTGAATTGAATTAATGTGTATTAATATGAAAAGAAAAAAAAGGAGAAAAACTTGTTTGTAAAGCCATAAACTTTTTTCAAGGTATAATGTAATGTTGGACTTATCAGCACGAAAAAGGGTTATAATGCAACAATGGAACAGATTTATGCCTAGTACTCTCTGGATTATTGTGTGACACCTGTTCGTTCAGATATGATGGTCAGCGAGCTCAAATTCACAGATTAGCTGATGGATCTTTCCATATCTTTTCACGAAATGGCGATGAAACAACATCCAGATTTCCAGATTTGGTCAACATAATTAAGGAATCATGTACTCCAGCCTCTGTAACTTTCATACTGGATGCTGAGGTATTACTTTTTTACGGTCATGATTTCTTGGAGATTGATTAGATTTGCTGATTACTTAGGTCACTAAGGTGTTAAACAGTTACCACTGAGTTGCATTGTTGAATTTCGTTAATTTGTTTTGTTACTACTGTTTACTAAGAAGCACGGACTGGGATACGACACGATACGGACACGCTGATACAAATTTTTTTTAAAAAGTAGGATATGGACATGTTGGCGATACGTTAAATAATATGTATTTATATATATAACAGCATGTGAAAAAATAAAAATATTATTATAATAATCTTTTAATTCATCATTTCTCTAATTCTAAAAATTCATATCATGATATCACTGTATAAAAAGTACAATATAAGATACACCGCTACACATTCAACATTAACATCCATGATCCAACAATGAATGACTTCTACAACTTTTATTTTAAAAAATATTCCACTTTGTAACATTAATTTTTATCAATTTCCATGAGTCCCATTTTGTAATCCCATTTTTTTTTACATTATTTTCACATTAAAAGTTTATTTCATTTGTATATAAGTTCGTATTTGTATCCAAAATTATGTTAAATGCATGTCCTATGTTTATTATAATGATTATAACTTTATTTATATTATGATTATGATTCATATCCCTTAAAGTTATAAAAATAACTCTTAATTATAAAATTATTAGAAAAGTTCTCAAAAAATTGAAAATAAATCTCAAAACATGTCCCCAACGTGATGGCCGCAACATGTCCCCTACGTGTCCCGAGTGTGTCTGCCATATGTCCCCAATGTGTCCTAAAAAAAATTTAAATAAAAAAATTGGACACTCACTTTAACGTGTCCGATATGTGTCCAAGCGTGTTCGTGTCTCAGATGTGTTCGACATTGACAATCTGCCCAAAATGAAGTGTTCGTGCTTCCTAGTTGGCTTACATGTAAGCATATTATTCTGGTTTTAGGTAGTTGCAGTTGATAGGAAGAACTACTGCAAGCTTATGTCTTTCCAAGAATTATCTACGCGAGAGAGAGGAAGTAAAGATTCCTCAATTGCAGTAGACACCATAAAGGTCTGATATCAAACTTTATTTTGTTTTTTGTTTCATGTGTAATGCATTTAGTCCGATTTCAACGTATCTTAAATCAGCTCAACTCACTGAACCTTAATCTCAACTACTTGGTTTCAGCTATGTGAATTTGTCTTTGCCCTTCAGCTCTTAGTAAAGCCATCTCTTTGTCAATCCCGGATAGCTATATTCTTTCAATATATGCGCATTTTTGCCTCTGGATAGTTTCTAGTAACCTTTTGAAAATACAAACAATTGTGTTACACTGAATTAGAGGAGAGTTGGTTATTTGGGTCTGTCAAGTAGTCCTCCTAGTTCATGATATTTATTTATTCTCGTATATTTTTGTGGACTTTACTTCTAGGAAATAACATTAGAAAGAATGAGATTTTTAATTGGAAAAATTTGCCAAAAAAACTCAACTGGAGCAAAAAAAAAAAAAATCAATGCTCTAAGAGGGACAGAATTTCCTCGAAGAAATGCATATGCAAGATCAAGTAGAACTTGTCAAAAATTTATTTTAACTGAGCAAATAAAAGAAATTCTAATCAAAGTTCTTTATAATGTATTTAATAAATTGTATTAGTAATATGGTAAAAGTATGCCATTAGAGCTAAAGGAAAGGGGTGTTGTTAGCATATGAAGTTCTTAAACAGCTTATGAACAGCTCCTTCTTTGAGATATTGTGCACCTTGATTAGAACATCAAGGTGGCCTAAAAAATGAACGTATTTATGCCTCTTTCTTCTGGAGATTGGAGTCTTGGGTGACCCATTCTCCCTATTTGATTACACCTGAGCTATACCTTCTCTGAAATGCTATGGATGTCAAGATGGATGTTTGTTAATATCACCACAAGTGAACCAAGTGTTTTAATGGTGTGCTCATGTTTGCATAATTTAAAAGAGAGTAAATCTCTGCTGTCATACATATTCTATTGACTCCAATTCTGAAAAAATCAAAGTTTTACAAATTTTTTATGAGCCAGGAATAACTTGGGCTAATAATGTTGGGTGTGAGAGAAGCAAGAAAATCCATTGATCCACTCCTACTGATAGAAAAGAATAATTGTAGAAAGTGCTAGAGGTGGAAAGGCAGATAAAAGTATTATTGGACATCTTATTTATTCTATGGCTTGCATCAGATCAAATCTAGTATTCTCACAGTTGAAGGGGTTTGCCAAAACCAATCTCCGGCCTGATTAGGGTTCCAGTCATTTCCCAATGTGAAATACACAATTTTTTTTGTCAAGGAAGACATCTTTTAATAGAAAAACATGCTTGCAAGACTGGCTTCCAAGCTCATGATTCATACATGCCGGAGACAGTTTGAATCTGTTTTGCTTTTGAGCCTGTCTCTCACTGTTTGTTGGTAAATAGGCTTAATAGATGCTGTGTGTGATATTGCCATATTAGGCTCATAAATCCAGACTTGATTCTTCGTATGGGAAGGATAAGTTGAGATTTTTTAGGATCTCACAATATCAGGAGAACTGGTAGTCAATTCAGAAGATTGAAAATACATAGATTTATCACCCTCAGAAGTTGATCGTGAAGTGAAATGATTGGTGTTTTGAGTGGTTCTTATACCTTTCCTCTGGGTCCTGGATAACTACTGAGTTTTCAAGTAAATTTTAAAATTGTTACGAGAGCCTGGAGTTCGATTTTTTTTTTTGGTTCCTTCTGTCTGCTTAGTAGGTGAGATCCATGTAACAAGTCGTGGACTTCTTTTAGAAAGACAAAACATGGGACTTGGATTCAGCTCGATTGTAAGCCTCAGTTACTTCATGTCTGTTAGTTCCTTTCAAACACCATGCCTTTCTAACTTTGCAATGTGGTTTCTGTTACCTCTTACTGTAATGGAAATTTTTCCAATTGGTTGTTTTCATATTTGTTTGTTCTTCCCTCCTTGCTTGATTTTCTGGACATTTCCTGATATCTTTTCTCCATGCAGGTTGACATATGTATCTTTGTCTTTGATATCATGTTTGCGAACGGAAAGCAGTAATCATCTTGAACCTCTTCTTGGAATACATTATAGTATAGTAGTCGTGTTGTATAATATGTCCCATTTTTTTGATAGTTATTTAACACTTAAAACAAGAGATGCCCAAAAAACAAAAAAGAGGAAAGAAAGAGAAATGGAAAGAAAAAGGCAGCAGGAGGAAATAATGGACATCAGACCTTCCATTTCATCACATTAAACCAAAATCCTTTTTTCATTGCAACAAGCAAGCAACATGAAATTCATACAAAATTGCAATAGCACAATTCTTGTCCAAATCCCCCCCCCCCCCTTTTCCCCCACCAAAAACAAACATCAACATTCGAAAAAAAAAATCAGATGCAAGAATAAAGGGGCCTTTTGTGCTTTCTGGTAGAGTTCTAATATGATACAGTTTTTAAAAATGCCTTTTCACATTCACATATGAACATTTAAAAAGAAGAATGGACAGTAGACCCTATAGTTACAAGAGCTCCCAAACATATACTAGCCAACAGCAAACCAAAATTAGCATAAAAGGTTAGTTCCACGACTCGAAAACATGAACTTTGCACAAAACACAAGTACCAGCACAAGCATTTTTCTACCAAAGCATTAGATGCATGAACAATGTGAGGAATTGGTATCAAGAGAAAACCATTATACATTTCATGCAATAGGGAAAGAAACAGTAGATAATCCTTGAACACGAAAAAGGGAGGGAAAGCAAGAAGGATAAGCCAGAAGAAGAGGAGAGAGGCATCGCACATGAGGAAGTACTCAGTGGCAGCAAGGCTGTGGTTGACATTGGCCGCAAGAGGACAAACGTCATTTTGCCCCTCTCTCTCTCTCTCTCTCTCTCTCTCTCTCTCTCTCTCTCTCTCTCTCACACACACACACACACACACATATACACATGCACGCACGGGACCCTATTTTGCTTAAAAAAAGTGGCAAAGATCTTTTAGGTTGTTATCATGCCAAAATAATTCCCTGGTGGTGCTATGTTGTAAGATCATGGGGGAAAAACCAGCAACTGAACTAATGTTTTCTTAATAAGGGACTGAACAAGTGTTGGACAAGTGTTATGCAGATGTAACTATATTGGGGTAACCCAAGCATACAGTAAGTCAGTAACCAATCTTCTTATCCTGCCCTAGAGGTATGACCCGCATGTGCTGGAATAAGTTTTTCATGTGCTTTTCATCATTGTCACTTTAGTTTCTGCCAGTTGATGGTCTCAAATAAGCATGTCCAACATATGGTCTTTTCCCATCGTGCTTCTTGCATATGTTAAAGTTATGCTTAGTTGACAGTAGTCTTAATCAATATTCTTGGTCAAGAGGTTGCCAACCGTATTTTAATGTTTTTTGGGGTGCTTTTTTTTTCTGGTTCACCATTTGTATGCCTGTACCATGTGATCAATCATACTTGCCAAAATAATTTGGTTTTCAAGGAGGCTGTGTCTTGCTTCCCTTTTGTCACCTTCTCTTTTATAGGTTTGTATTTTGTTAGCCAAGGAGTATGTGCACTGAATGATTTGAAAATAATCTGAAAAAGTTCAAGAACCGTAACAAAATTCTTGATTACAGGTTGTTGGGTTTTCCTTTCCGCCAAAGACGAAAATGTATGCATATCCCTCTCTGCCGATAGGAAGTCTTTTTCCATTCCTCTGGGAAATTCCTTTTATGTGCAAAAATTATTCCCCCTGACCTTGAATTCCTTCTGTCTTGTGTGCCTGAAAATCTCAGATCTGAAGGATTTGTTTGGTGATGAGAAGTTGGGTTATTTCGAGTATGCGAGGGAAATAACAGTAAGTGCTCTGCTATTTGCATATTCCAATGCTGATCAGTGTTGTTAGTGTTAGAGTATTTTAGTATTAGGGGTAGTTTAGTCCTTTTATCCTTTATTTGTTTTGCCCTACTATAAAGGCTTGTTATTATGCATCTTTTATCTTACGTTGTAACAGACTATTAAGCTGTAATGTATTCTCTCTTTTCATTCTCTTCTCCCTCGTAATCAATGTTTTCATGCTATCAGAGCGAATTTCAATCTAAATTATAGAAATTCTGTGTTGCCCAAATTAGAGAATATTGTGTCGCTGAACAGATAATTGTTTTTTGATTTTGTGGGCATTTGGTTGGAGTTTCATTTTTTTTGAAGTTTTTTCAAAAAATAGGGACAAAAATCTTAGGTCTGCAGTTTTGGCTAGACTTTCTCAACTTTTCTGCATCTAATCTCTCCTAAGAGATGTGATTTACAGTTATTGGTGCTTGATTGAAGTTGTTGAAGCCCCTTGAATGGATTTTTGTGCCGACGAATTGAAATTTTCTCACTGTCGGCTTTTAGTTTCTGGCACTGTGTCATCTGGATCTGCATCTGGTTGCTGGATATTGTTTTTTCTTGGTTGATTTGGTTACTGATTTGCTCTTTTGCTGATTCTTCTTCGTCTGGCTTGCTGGCTTGCACTATGACTGCATCAACTCTTGTGGTTTGCTGTTAAATGGTTTGCTGAACATGGAAATTGTTGGCTAGGAATGCGTTTTTGTCATGGGCTTGTTTATGCAGGGCTTTTGGGTTACTTTGCTTTAGAACCTATTGGGCTGTTGGGCTGGGCTGTGTTACCTTGTTTGAGACATTGTTGGGCTGTTGTTGTTCTTGCTTTGTTGGGTTTCTCGGTTTGTTATTTGCTGGTATGCTTTGCTGGTTTGCTATTTGTTGTTGCTCTTGAAGCACAACACCGTTCTTCTACTGGGACTGAATTCTTCTACTGGCCCTGCTCTTGTTTATTTTGGGCTGCTTTTGGCTACTGAAATGTTACTCTTCTCGTTTGATAATTTTTTGGATCTGGTCTTGGATTCTGCTCAGTGCTTAGCACACGTATAAGGATTTGGGCTTTTGTAATTTGGATATGGGTTAGTTGAATTTGCACATATTTGGTTCAAGTGATTTGATTGTTCTTATTCGATTTTCTTCCGTTGTAATTATGGCAAGTCAAAATCTGACTCTCTCCAAGACATCAGTGTGAAATTAACTATGATTAATGATAAGTTGCAGAAGCTTATCTCATCTCATAAGTCTAATACTCTGTCAATCTCTCCCTCCATATGTTTATTCATTTCAAGTCCTTCAGGTCTATCTCAAACTGCCTAGGTTTTTTACTGTGGTGCTATACATCACATGACAACTAATTCTTCTTTATTTGCTTCTATCTTTTCTCCTCCATTTGTACCTGTGCTTGCATCCAATGGTGCTCAAATGTCCTTTGCTAGTGTGGGATCTATTATTTCTCCTCATCTAATGCTTTTGTTTATTATATTCCACAGGTTACATTAAATTTGATTTCAATTAGTCAGTTATTTGTTAAACTTTTCTTCTGGTTATGTTGTATAGGATCATGTTCTATAGGATCATGTTCTAAGAAGCTAACTGGGATTGGCATTAGAAAGGGAGGGTTTTATGTGTTGGATGAGTTACATATTATAGATTTTGATGCTTGTATTATTGATTTGTCTTCTTTTTGTTGAAGTTCGCAATCTTCTAGTTTTTATTTATGGCATTCTCATCTTGGTCGTGTTTCCCAATCTCGTTTAAATTTTTTAGTCTCTACAAGTAGTTTAGGGAGTTTACAGTGTCATGACATTTCCAATTACAAGTTATGCAAGTTAGCTAAGTCTACGGCCTTACCCTTTCATAAAAGTTTTACTCGTGCTCTTGGATCTTTTGATAAGGTTCACTCTGATGTATGATGACCTACTCCTATTCCCACAAAAGGAGGGATCAGATATTATGTCTCTTTCATTGATAATTATACCTAGTACTCCTAGGTATACCTAATGAAACATTGCTCAGAATTCTTCTCCAGATTCACTGTTTTTCATGCCATGATTTGTACTCCATAATCTTCTACTATTAAATGATTTCAATGTGATCAAGGAAGAAAATATTTATTTAATTCCTTTCATGATCTGTTAAAATCTGATGGCATTGTTTGTTAATCTTCTTATATTGACACACCTGAACAGAACGGTGTTGTAGAGTGTTTAGTAAACATCGATACATTATGGAGACAACACACTCGGTCTTATTGTCTAAACAATTTCCCAAGTTCTTTTTGGGGGAAAGCAGTTCATCTGATTATCTGCATTCCCACTATCCTTACTTTTGAAGTCTTTCCCTTTAAAAAATTGTGTGGTAGGTTAGCCACCTGATTATTTCTCTTTACGTATATTTGGACATTCTTGTTTTGTTTCCTCCATAATGCTCTTTGTATTAAGCTTTCTTTTCATTCAGCTTTATGTATTTTTCTTGGTTATGGTGAGGGTAAAAAAGGGTATTCTTGCTGTAATCCTATAACACACCAACTTTATGTCTCTTGTCATGTTGTCATGGAGCATATTCTCTTCTTTTCTATTCCATCTAGTTCTTCACACTTAAAAAAAATCTGATTTCATTGACATTGATCTATTTCTAGCCGATGTTCCATCTGAGTCTTATGGGGGTGCTTGTATCTGATGTGCCTTCCTCTTTTAATTTCCCAGTTAGTTGTCCTCGTATTGTACATATTTATGCTTACAAGACTCCAGTTGTCTCTTCTACAGATGTGGTGCCTCCCTCTAGTCTACTATTACTTAATCAAGTTTTGTTAATGTGGATCGTGTCTCTTACTGTCCTTAGCAACCTCGTAAGTGTCCAAGCGGATTTGGTTTATGGAACTCTTGTTATGCTCTTAATTTTTTTTCTTACTTTAGCTTCTATTCACACTCTCTCTGAACCTACCTCCTATAAGGAGGTTGTTCTTGATCTCTTTTGAAAATAGACTAAAGATTAGGAAGCTGGAAGTTGGTGTCATTGCCCTCCAGCAAACGCACAGTTGGTTGTAAGTGGGTGTATAAAATCAAAACCAATTCTGATGATTTTGTGGAACGATACAAGGCCCGATTAGTAACCAACAGATTTGCTCAAGAATATGGCATCGACTATGAAGATACATTCGCTCCTATTGCTAAAATGATCACTGTTAGCACAGTGCTCGCAGGGACTTCTATTCATCAATGTAGTCTTTATCATATGGATCTTAAAAATATCTTTCTCAATGGAGATTTAATGGGAGACGTCTTTATGACTCCTCTTGTCGGGTTGCCTCATAATCCTGGTGAGGTGTGCAGATTGCACTAGGCATTATATGGTCTTAAACAAGCCCTTGGAGTATGGTTTTCCAAATTATCTTCTGTCATCTGTGACTTAGGTTTTTGTGGCAATAACCATAACTCTATTCTCTTTTTACGTGCCGCCCCCATTGGTTCTATTGTAGTTTTATTTTATGTTGATGATATGATCATTACGGTGATGACAGTGCGGGCATTTTGTTGTTGGATACCCAGTTACAGAACCATTTTGAAATGAAGGGTTTAGGTTAACTTTGATATTTCTTAGGTATTGAGGTTGCATCTTCTTTGAAGGGTTATCCTTCTCTCTCAATCCAAGTATGTCTCGGATATTATATAGCGAGTCTGCTTATCAAACACCAGGCCAATTGAGACGTCCTTAGAGCCTAATGTTCGTTACTCTTCCTCATGTCATTCCATTATCAGATGCTACACTATACTGCACTATTGTTAGAAGTTTTGGTGTATCTTACGGTTACTTGTCCAGACACCTCTTATGCAGTTTATATTGTTAGGCACTTTGTTCAACTACCACTGTTCATTGGTCTAATGTTTTCCGCATTTTTCATTATCTTCGAGCCTTTGAGGTATCTTATACCAAAGTCTATTATTTTTCCCTTTTTCTTTGTTAGAACTCGAGGCTTATTCTAATGCTGACTGAGCTGACGACTCTATAGATCGCAAGTCTACTACTGATTTTTGTCTCTTTCTTGGTGATTCACTTATATCTTGGAAGCACAAAAAGTAAATTGTGGTTTCTCATTCTTCTACTGAGGCCAAGTATCGTACTATGGGTTCCGCCATAGCTGAGATCGTCTGATTGCAATGATTACTTGTTGATCTTGACATGTCATTCTTTGCTCCTACTCTTATGTATTGTGATAATACAAGTGCAATTTAGATTGCCCACGATTCGGTGTTTCATGAGCATACAAAACATATTGAGATTGATTGTCATTTTGAACAGCATCATCTTTAGCTGGGCACTATTTTTCTCTCTTTTCTTCCTTTTGTTAAGATTAGTAGGGTAATATGTGTAAGTTGTTAATAGTAAGAGGGTGTATGTGTAATTCTTATCCTTTGTACTATAAATACAAGTGATATATGAGAGTTAGGTTAAGTTTTAACTTCTTTCTATTTTCTCTCTCTAATATTGTGTTAATCATCTACACTTAACATGGTATCAGAGCCATTACGACGATAAATATATATTTTGAATAAATTAATTTTTTGTGGTGGTGGTATTGTTGGGTGCTAATTCGCTCGTTGGTACTGTTGGGTACTGGTGGTGTTGATCGTTGGTGGTGGTGGTCTATGTCTGTGTTGTGTCGCTTGTTGGTGGTGTTGGTGGTGGTCTGTGTTGATCGCTATTATGGTGTCGTTGTGGTGATCGCTGGTGGTGGTGGCCTGTGTTGATCGTGGTGGTAGTGTGGCTATTGTGGTGTTGATTGCTGGTGGTGGCCTGTGTTGATCGTGGTGGTGGTGTGGCTACTGTGGTGGGGCTTTTGTGGTTTGTCATCTGTCGAAGGTGAGGCGCACAAGGTGAGGCGCACAGGTATCCTCTGAAACCCTACCGGCGAAGAAGACAACGGTCCAGCCTAGACCAGACCAATTATTGTTTGGTCTCGGTTCAGGCTAGTCTTGTGTGGTTCAAACCGGTTCACAGGTCCAGTAAGTCAAACCGGTCTGGTACAGTGGTCCAACCCGGTTTTCCAGCCCGATCCAGTGGTCCAGTCCGATTTTTCAGCCTGATTCAGTGGTCCAAACAGGTTTTTCAGCCCGGTCTAGTGGTCCAGTCCAATTTTCCAGCCCGGTTCAGTGGTCCAGTCCAATTTTCCAGCCCGGTTCAGTGCTCCAGCCTGATTTTTCATCCCGGATCAGTATTCCAGCTGCTTCTTTGGTCCGGTTTAGGCACCTAATCCACTGTTCCGTGCTCCTTGGTGTTCTTCTAGCCTTGGTATCATAGTTTCTCCTTTTTCCTTTGCCTCTATTCTTGTTATATTATTATGGAACCCAAAAATAAAAATGATGATAGTCCAGTTGATCTTATTTTGTCCACGTCACCAAATTTTTCTCCTATGGTTTTACTTAATGGTCCCATGACATCTGTTAAACTCAATGGGACCAATTATGTTTTGTGGCCACGATGTGTTCAAGTGTTTCTTAGAGGTAAAAGCTTTAAGAAATATTTAGTGGACACTAAACCTAAGGAAGGTACGCCTGAGTGTGATAAGTGGAAACAAGAAGATGCTCAGATTATTTCATTGCTATTGAACAGTATTAAGTCCAGTATCAGTTCTACTTTACTTTATTTTGACACGGCCAAAGAGATCTGGGATCACTTGGCCACCATGTATTTTGGCACTGAGAATTTTACTCGTGCATATGAAGTATGTAAATAGTATTTTCGTCTGGAGCAGGGTATTTCGAGTCTTGAGGACAATTACTCTCATGTTCAAGGAGTGTGTGAGGAGTTGAAGCTCTACCACCCCTTTACTACTAATGCAGCAGTTTGGCAGAAGCAACATGAGGATTTGAATGTTGTTCGATTTTTAGTTGGTTTGAAACCTGAATACGAGTCTATTCATTCTCAGATTTTGGGTGGCTCTAGTCTTCCATCTCTACTAGAGGTTTTCTCCCGCCTGCAGCATGTTACCTTCTCTACCGGTTCATCAAACACAGAGTCTGGTGTGCTTGCTAATCGTTTAGCTCTTGTTGTCCCGAGTATCCATGGTGACAATTCCCGAGGTGGTCATGGCAACCGTGGTGGTCGTAGCGGTCGGGGAGGCGGTATTGGGAGCCGTACTGGAGGTCATGGAGGGCGTTCAGAGTCTCGTTCATGCTCTTACTGTGGTCGTGGAGGCCACACTGTTGATTACTGCTGGGATTTTCATGGCAAGCCTTCGGGTGTTGCTAATCCGGTGTCTTATCAAGATGACACCCCGACTCCTACCGCTATACCTCAGTTTGCTCCACCTGATTCCGTATCAGTTACTCTTACACGGAAGGAGTATGCTCAGTTTATGTCCCAACAGCAGGTTGTTCTATCTCCCTCCACTTCTACTTTTGCCCAGTTAGGTACTGCTTCCACTTGTTTATTGTCCTCCACTCGTAGCCCTTGGATCATAGACTCTGGCGCCTCTGACCACATGACTGGTGCGTCTGATATTTTTTCTACTTATCAGTCTGCTCCTTCCACACGTAGTGTTACTCTTGTTAATGGTATTTGTTTTAAAGTTTCAGGTCTTGGGACTATTCACTTGAGTCCTGATATGTCCCTATCTTCCGTGTTATTTGTTCCTCAGTTTTCGTTTAGTTTACTTTCCATTAGTAAGATTACTCGTTCTCTCAATTGTTCTGTAATCTTTTATCCCTTTCATTGTGTCTTTCAGGATCTTAAGACGAAGAGGAAGATTGGTACGGGACATGAAACTGGTGGCCTATACTACCTTGACTTTGATTCACCTACCAAGGCTTTACAGATCTCGTTGTCTCCTTTTCAATGACATTGTCGTGTTGGACATCTCTCTCTCCAGAATCTGAAGCACCAAGTTCCCAGTCTTAGTAATGTGTCGTCTTTGTCTTGTGAAGCTTGTCATCTTAGTAAGCATCACCGTGTGTCTAGTCCCTTTGAATTAGTCCATTATGATGTATGGGATCCAATAAAGAATATTTCATCTAATAAATATCCTTATTTTGTGACATTTGTAGATGACTATTCTCGTGTGACTTGGTTGTTTTTGATAAAAGCTCGGTATGAATTATTCTCTATATTGGAGACCTTTCGTAAGGAAATAAAAACTCAGTTTGGTTATCGTATACGTACTTTACGCTCTGATAATACTCGGGAATATGAATCTGATCCTTTTTCAACTTATCTTAGTAAAAATGACATTATTCATTAGATTTCTTGTGCTTACACCTCTCTACAAAATGGTGTTGTTAAACGCAAGAGCCGTCATTTGTTAGAAATCACTCGTGCCCTGTTATTCCAGATGAATATTCTCCGACATTATTGGAGTGATGCTGTTTTTACTACTTGTTATCTTATTAATCGTATGTCATCCTCTATGTTAAATGGGCAAAGTCCATATTCTGTTCTTTTTTCTAGTAAGCCCTTATTTTCCCTGACTCCTAAGGTTTTTGGTTGTGTCTGTTATGTTCACAATTTGGGCCCTGGGTTTGACAAACTTGACCCTAGAGCTACCAAATGTGTATTTCTTAGTTACTCCCGCATGCAGAAGGGGTATCGTTGCTACAGTCCTTCTCTGCACCGATATTTTACTAGTGTCGATGTCACATTTAAAGAATTTGTTCCATACTTTCCACCACCTGCTCAGTCTTTGGATCATCTTCTATACCCCCATCTCTTTCCTCATCTTCAGCTATTCCGCTGCCCACTGTGTTACCATCTACTTTACCTCTCCGTGTCTACTCTCGCCGTCCTCGCCCATCAACTGAGGTGCCCGTATCGTCTTCTTTGTCGCCTTCTGATCCTGGTACATCAAGTAATTTAGACTCTTTGCCTATTGCTCTTCGCAAAGGTACTCGTTCATGTGTTACTCATCATCCCATTTTTCATTTTGTTTCATATAATGCCTTGTCTCCTGTCTTCTCTTCTTTTACCTCCCAATTATCTGCTATATCTATTCCTAAGCGTTTACAGGATGCATTGTCTGATCGGGTTGGAGGAAAGCTATGGAGGATGAGATGGATGCCTTACATCATAATGAGACTTGGGATCTCGTTTCTTTACCTCCCGGTAAACGAATTGTTGGTTGTCGTTGGGTGTATACTGTTAAATTTCATCCTAATGGTTCTGGGGAGCGTCTCAAAACCTGGCTTGTTACAAAGGGCTTTACTCAGACTTATGGTGTTGATTATGAGGAGACTTTTTCTCCTGTTACCAAAATTTTCTCGGTTCATATCTTGATTTCTTTGGCTACTAATCTTGATTGACCCTTGTTTGAGTTAGACATCAAGAATGTTTTCCTACATGGTGACTTGGTTGAAGAAGTATACATGGAGCAGCCACTTGGGTTTACTGCTCAGGGGGAGTATGGTAAGAGTGTCTATCGGTTAAAGAAATTTTTGTACGGTTTGAAGTAGTCACCAAGAGCATAGTTTGGTAAGTTTTCAGATGTAGTTTTAGAGTTTGGTTTTTTTTGATGTTAGACAAATCATTCTGTGTTTCATAGACAGATAGATGCTGGATATGTTTTATTTGTGGTCTATATAGATAATATTGTGATTACTAGAAATGATTTTGAGGGGATTGCTAAGTTAAAAATATTCTTACAGGATCGATTTCATACTAAGGATTTGAGAAAACTCAGGTATTTCTTGAGTATTGAGGTGGCTCGATCTAAACAGGGTATTTGTTTATCCCAGAGAAAATATGTATTTGATATGCTTGATGTTCCTATGGATCCGAATCAGAAATTATTTATGGATGATAGTGCATTGTTTGAGAATCCAGATCAGTATCGCAGATTGGTTGAAAAGCTTAATTATCTCACTATTACTCGACCAGATATTTCATCTGTAGTCAGTTTATGGGATAACCTAGAGTACCACATTGGGAGGCAGTTACTCGTATTCTGCGATATCTCAAACGAGCTCCTGGACTTGGACTGTTATATCGAACTAATGGACATCTTAGAGTGGAAGGTTTCTTAGATGCTGATTGGGCTGGTTCTCCTTCTAATCAGAGATCAACCACTGGTTATTGTACTTTCTTAGGAGGTAATGTTGTCTCATAGAAAAGTAAGAAACAACCCGTGGTAGCAAGATCCAGTACTGAGGCTGAGTATAGGACAATGGCATATACGACGAGTAAGTTGACTTGGCTACTACACTTCATCCAAGAAATTGGGTTTCCAATTCAACTTCCTTTACAATTGTTCTGTGACAACCAAGCAGCTATACATATTGCTGTCAATCCTGTATTTTACGAAAGAACTAAGCATATTGAGGTTGATAATCGGGACAAGATAGGAGCTGAGGAGATTTACAACTCCATTTGTGAAATCTGAATATCAACTTGCAGATATGTTTACCAAAGTATTGAATTATACACGTCTTACAACCATTTGTTCTAAGCTTGGATTATATGATATATATAGTTCAGTTTAAGGGGGATTGTTAAGAATAGTAGGGTAGTATGTGTAAGTTGTTAATAGTAAGAGGGTGTATGTGTAATTCTTATCCTTTGTACTATAAATACAAGTGATATATGAGTGTTAGGTTAAGTTTTAACCTCTCTCTGTTTTCTCTCTAATATTGTGTTAATCCTATACACTAAACACCTTCTATTGTGCAATTTTCAAATTTTTTTACGAAATCCACACAATTATGCATTTTTGTTTTCTTCTTCGCAAACTCCTTATTTTTTCTACCACCACATCATGAGTTTGAGGAGAGATATTAGAGTATTTTAGTATTAGGGGTAGTTTAGTCCTTTGGTCCTTTATTTGTTTTGCCCTACTATAAAGGATTTCTATTATGCATCTTTTATCCTGAGTTGTAAGAGACTATTAAGCTGTAATGATATTCTCTCTTTTCATTCTCCTCTCTCTCGTAATCAATGTTTTCAGTTGGTGATGTCAATAATTCACCCTACTCTTTTAGGTGGAAACAGATGATGCTTGTTCGACCAGTGAGGCCACATTGACTAAGATGAGCTGTTTTCTTGATGATGCATTCCGTTCCTCGTGTGAAGGAATAATGGTGAAATCACTTGATGTTGACGCTGGATATACTCCATCAAAGCGTTCTGATACTTGGTTAAAGGTGCATCTTATGACCAAAAAATATTGAATGTTGAAATCACCGTGAGACTATTGAACTTTATAAGTATAAAAGTTGATTGAATGTTGTTCTCCTTGCAGGTTAAGCGTGATTATGTGGAAGGATTGAATGATTCCCTGGATTTAGTTCCCATTGGTGCTTGGCATGGAAATGGAAGAAAAGCAGGATGGTAATAACTAATATCCTTTGGTTCTTCTTTCCTTTCCGCTCTTCTAACTACTGGCTTTAAGAAGATGGTTTCGAAGATAAATGTCATCAATCTTTCCCATTTGGGTGTGAACATCATTTTGTGGCCGAATGTTGCAGTTTTTTAGGCTAGTCTAGATTAAAAAAAAAAAGTGCTTCATAAGAATTCTCATGTTTTCGAGAAATGTTTAAGCTTCTATAGTCAGTTTACAAGCATATAACGTGCAGGTTCAGATACTTCTGAAGCAAGAAACAAGTGTGTCTTCATGTTCTTTCCTCGTGTTTCTCTTACAATTAGATGTGTTATGCGGCAGGTACAGTCCTTTCCTCATGGCATGCTACAACCCTGACACTGAAGATTTCCAGAGCGTCTGTCGTGTCATGTCTGGGTTCTCAGATTCCTTCTACATAGAGGTACATTAAAGTTTGTTTATTTTAAGAACTGCTAGTCATTTTGTTGAGTTGCTGATGTCAGATTCCAAATGAAGTAAAGTTCATCACCAGTGCTAGAAAATATTCTCTCGCTTCTCTTGATATGCTATAATTTTTTCAGGAAGTAAATGTTGAGTTCTGCTGTAGTTTTTCATTTTTAGTAATTTATGTCGTCTCATGTCTGGGTTCTCAGATTCCTTCTACATAGAGGTACATTAAAGTGTTGTTTATTTTAAAAACTGCTAGTCATTTTGTTGAGTTGCTGATGTCAGATTCCGAATGAAGTAAAGCTCATCGCCAATGCTATAAAATATTCTCACACTTCTCTATAATTTTTTCAGAAAGTAAACGATGGATGCTTCATGTCAGCAGGGGCAAGCCAATATAGGGCTTCCCATGTCTTTCCATTCCCCCCACCCCAACCCCTGAATTTTTCAGCCCCTTCCATTTCCTTATTTGATCAAGGAGACCTGTTCTATAAGTTAGTGGGGCCTTAACTTTTTGATATTAGCATAATGAATCTCTTTGTATTTATGACATGATTATTGGTCCATCAGTAATTGGCTAAAGTGAAAATGTTGTGTCAAAGATGATTTGTGATATTGCTTAGCATGATGGCCCATATGTATATGCTTAAAAATATCCTCTAGGACGTCCATATTAAAGTACTTGCATCATTTTTAAATATGTACCATTTCACAAACACAGATTTCTTGCCTCTACCCATACCCGTAGACCACCCTTCCTTATCTGTCATTTATCTCCCTGTGCAGCCTCCTTTGACCCCATGCCTATCTCTACTGCAAATTTTTGTATTCCCCAGAAATACAAAAATGGGAAGATATCACGTTCCTACCCCATCCCCGATCTCTTCTACAGAAAACCACCATATCCAACTACATCATGTGGTCTTTGATTCTTCTTCCAACTCACCCCAAGAATCTAAACTATGCTTTTTTTTTCCATCATTTAAACCTGGGATTGTAAATAGCAATATAAATCAACTTGCAACACTCCGGAGAGTGTGTTTGATGAAATTAGTCTTTCCCCTGGCATTCAGAGATGTGAACAGCCAGCGGCAAAGGGAGGGGGTGGGGGGCAGTGGGCAATTGCCCCCACTGAGATTTTTGAAAATTTTTTGGGCTAGTTTAAAATTACAAGAAAATTAAAATTTTTAAATACTTGCCCCCACTAAATTTTTTTAAAGTTCATGAGACTTTCTTTCGTCTCCAGCTATTTCTTGTCTTTCTATAATGACACACTAAGTTACCAAACTCATCCTCCTCTAAATTCGGTTATCTAGATATGGATTGATATATTTAATTGATTATCTAAGTTTGAATATGCTATTATATTTCAAGAATTTAGATTTAAATATACCAAAATTTGACCAGATTGTGAATCGTTTTGATTTATAAAAACACATGCACACGTGTATATAAAAGATTTAGTCTTATATCAAAAATTTTAATATTTAATAGATATGGATATGAATTGTAAAGACATATCTGATGGATACTCGAATCATATTCAAAATGGAGTTTTCAAATTAAACTTGGATTTGAATCACTTAAGATTTGATGGTTGATATGTCTATTTATAGCTTGTTTTTGGAATGATTTGTCATCTTCAATGTGAAAATTATTCTAATACTAGTACTTTCTATAACATAACTTTCATATAACTTTTCTTAATTAGTTCTATCTTTTCAAGTGTAATTTATGCGTGAAAAATTTTAAAACAACAAAGCAAAAAATTATCATGAAGAATTACTTTATAAATAGTGTAACTGGCAAAACACTTATATTTCTAAGACACAATAAATTTTGATGATTGTTCTTCGATTGTTCCCCTCAACTTGATTATTGCCCCACTGGAAATGAACTCTGGCTCCACCCCTGTGAGCAGCCACCCTTCTCTTGGATATTTGTGCCCATCCATCCAAGACAACCTTAGCCTTCAAGAAGGAGCCCCAAGTATGGAATGGGAAGATCACTAATCTTGCCACAGACATTATCTTTCGTGTTTTCATTTTCTCCGCCTTCTGAACTAGAACAAAGTAACCATTGCTTCAGTTCACTATAAGACTGGATACTGCTTTAGGCATAACAACATGCATTGAGGCATCTGAGGATAACGTCATCCTCAAGGGCTGCCCAACAATAATTGGTGCCTGAGGCAGTATTATTTGACGAGGCCCTATTAATATAAATATATGAATATTAATGATATTAACTAGTTATCAAACATTTAAAATGTATTATTTCATTTTTTTTTCTTTTTTTGTCTTTTTGAGTTATAAAACTACTAATGTTCAAGTTTTCTGTAATATATCATTCTTAATATATAATATGGCGGATCCATTCAATTTTTCTGTGACAGTCGTAAGTCGATTGTAAAGAAGATTTCATCAAATTAAGTTCAAGAAAGCATCTTTATGTAGGGAAAACTACTACCACTATTGTTAATAATACTATTATATAAGCAATACATGTATTTGAAAAATAATCTTATCTTTTTATAAAAGTTTGTTCAACTGAAGTTTTAGTTTATATTTGTAAGACTATGATATTTTATATGCTACTAATTTTTTTATACATATTTGTGTATTTCTCTCTATATGTGTATATATAAATTTTCCATGTTTAGATTCATGTTTTTTAGTAGAAGCTATTCCTGACCCAAAAAAAAAAAGAGTAGATGCCATTGAAAAATATCTGCAAATGAACCATTATAATTACTGGATTTGTTAAGATCAAATTAAATTCAAATATAAAGTTTATGAACAATATGATATAGCATTTGAGCACAGAATTTTAGGTGGTCTTGTTTTGTGTTTATGACAGTTAGAATAGAATTTTGGAAGGGAAGACAGCCCCCCCTCCCCCCACCTCTCCTTTTTTCTTTTCTTTTTTTTTTGGGGGGGAGGGAAGGGGGGGTGGGGGGTGTTGTTCTTGAATGTTAGCATTCATAGTTCCTTGTTTACCTTTAAAACAAACTGAGGAGGCTGTCAACCATTCAAGGTAAACTACATAGTGTTCTTGGTCCACCATTTCAAGTGGGCCTTCATCTAAATCCCAATAGACTTTCTATGCTAATAGTTTTCACATTTTAGGTCTGTTATTGTGGCATCTCATCCGAATTACAGAGGTCTACATTGGGCTGTAGTCTGGGTTCTTGGGGCCCTAAAAATAGATTAAAATCTGTGAGGTCGAGGCAGCAATCTAAGTGGCCTTGGCTTAGGACCGGCCCTGGTCGTCCTCAAAAAGCGAATGAGATATATAACAGCCCTTCTTGCGACTCAGCAATGATCCTTTGTATGTCCAATTCAAACTCCTTCGCAATAGATGACTCATGGCTCATGAGAATGAAGATGAGAACTTTGTAAAGCTTCTCTTTGGTTGGTTCATATATGCTTAGTAATGTCTTGCTGGCTTTCTTCGTGGTAATTGGTAAAAGGAAATAGTTGGGACTGACTATATCCTGTCCTGCTGTTGGTTCAAAGTTACTTTTCTATGCAACTGTATCTCGTTACAAATTTTAAATGACATGTGGATACAGGTAGCACTTCCTTGTTGCTTAGTTCAGGAAAAGGTAAACTTAGATTACATGTTCCTTGTACTTTCTTGTCCTGGCCTGACTAGCTTTGTACGTTCCTGGTGAAGAATTTTGTATTTTTAAATATTATAGCAGTGTACACTTCCATTCTTGGAGGCACCATCTACTGTCCATATCATATTCTTTTTGTTTTTTCCAAATCATCTTATAGCCGACTGTCTGGGGGCCTAATTGTGGCATAACAAGCCTTATTATTGTGACAATACCTTCCTTTTATAAATGCTTGCACAATATTTTCTTTTAGCTTAGCTCAGATTATAGCTTTTGCAATCTAAAATTGCAAATCTTAGCACAACAGATAGAAGGTTAAACAGTTCTGGCATGCTGGTAGACCTTAGTTTATCAGTAGAGTAACAAAAAGTTTTTTGATTGATTTTGCAGATGAAAGAGTTTTTCTCGGGGGACAGGATCCTGGCCAAAAAGCCACCATACTATCAAACTGGCGAGGTACCCGACATGTGGTTTTCTCCAGAACTTGTCTGGGCGATAAGGGGTGCAGACTTTACGGTGTCACCAGTTCACCATGCTGCCATTGGTTTAGTTCATCCATCTCGTGGCATCTCAATCCGATTTCCTCGATTCATTTGTTCTGTCTCAGCTAGAAAGCCAGAAGAATGTAGCGCAGCGACAGACATAGCTGAAATGTTTCATTCCCAAACTCGAAAGATGGATGTGAGCGTTGGAAATTGATATGTAAGTTCTGGGATTTTGCCCGTAGATACCTTTTTTGAGAAGCCATAGGTATAGCTTCTCAAGGGCAGTTAGGTTTGTCCTTTTGCCGCGCCTGCAGGACCCTGTTGTGTGTGTGTGGGGGGGGGGGGGGGGGTGAGGGAGAGGGTGGTTTGCAAGGGCAAGTAGACAGCAAGCCGCCCATTGAACCCTGAGGAACAAAGTATCTATCTGTATCTCTTTTTTGACAAAAACATGAAAATATCAAAGATGATGAGTACCATTGTCATTGAGTTAATAATTTAGCTGTGCACTTCAATATTAGTTAGGACCCTTAATTCAATAATTATGAAGAATTAAGTCGATAAATTAGTTCAATAAAATATATATAATATTATTGGATAGCACTATGATACCAAAAGATTTTTTTGGGTATCATTCCTCAAAATAATTTTGCATCTTTGATCTTCTTTTGACCTATTCTTAACCATTAGTTATAAAAATAATAAATTAAACTAAAATAAAAAAATAAAAAAAATTTATGGTAAAAAATTTTAAAAAGACATGGTACCAAAAGTTAGTTCTTAGTACTTTAGTTGAACCAACTATTATTAGGAATTTATTACCAAAATACGGTCCATTTCAAAAGAAAATATTAATTTATTATACTTTTAAACTTATTTATTGATTTACTGTAGTTTCTAAAAACAGAATTGTTGATTCCGCTTTCAACATGAAAGCGGAATTCTTGATTTTGCTTTCATCACAATTTAACATGAAAATGGAATCAACAATTTTGCTTTTAACAAGTGATACAACAACAAAAAAAAAAAAAGATATTTTTATAAGTATTAAAAGCGTTCTTGTTGATTATACTTTCAAAAATTACTGTAGATCAATAGATAAGTTGAAAAGTGTGATAAAATTGGTATTTTTGTTCAAAAATGACAATATTTTGGTAATAGAATCTTATTATTGGTTAGCACTTGATTGCGTTATTCAAAAAATTTAAATATTATACTTTCAAAATTTATTACTTTAATGAGTATTTTTAAAAAATTTGTGAATTATTTTATAATAAAAAAATTTATTACAAAAATTGATAAAAACAACTATCAATTTTTATGGTACGCAAATTTTTTTTTTTTGTGTACAGTAACACGCCTATTGGTTATTGCCTGTTTGTTTGGTCCGTTGTCGTACCGACCAAAAAGACACAAGAAAAACTCCCGCCAAATTGAAAACCGGCTATTTCCGGTTAGCACGAAACAGCCGGTCACCACTATAAATACAGAGGAGACAAATTACAAGCAACATTTCCATAGCTCTAACAAAATATTTTGTTCCTTCGTCTACGATCACAATTCAAGTACCTCTTTTGCTTATTTCTTCTTAATCTTCTTCTTCTGTGTAATCTTCGATTCTTGCTTCTTGGGTTTCCAGAGTTCGATGAAGGGTTCGAAGCCTAATGTTTGGATCGAACCTTACATGAACGAGTCCAATACAGAGTTTTCTTTAGGTTTGGTACAATGAGTGCAGTGAACATTACGAACGTGGCGGTCCTCGACAATCCAGCGTCGTTTCTGGCCCCTTTCCAGTTCGAAATCTCGTACGAGTGTGTCACTCCTCTTAATGACGGTACCCTCTCTTTGCTATCATTTTCTTTGAATTTTAATGCTCTTGACTGAGTTAGGGCTTTGTAATTTCAAGTTTGACCACTATTCTATGGTTGATATTTAGCAAAAATGGTGAGGTTTATGATAAATTTCGATGGTCTGGTACTACATGTTTCGTTATTTGATTAATTACAAAGTGCGCATAATCCATTACAGCAACAAGAGCATATAATCAAACATGAAGAATTTTGGTTTTTCGATTTAATTTCATATAGTTTGTTCACAGATGGGATGGTGGTCGTTTTGTTAGGTTACCAAGTAGAAAGTAGTGAATTTGCAGCAGTAGCCACAAGAGACTGTAAGCTTTTCTGCATTGTTTCCCGCCTTTCTTGCAGATTAGGAGAACCTACATAACCAGTATGTACTTGTGTACAGAGAACTGCGATGGAAAGCCATTCATGGCTTGTTATTTTCTTTTCAAATTGAAAATGTGGGAAAGGAATAAAAACTCTTGACATTGTTGTAAGCAACTAGATTTTGATGTCATCAATTTGCTAACTGAGTGAATTTATTGAGGGTTAGTTAGTTATGGCCAAGTTTGACCAGTCTATTGCAGTTGAGTTTTCTGAGGATGACCACACCTTAATTTAGAATCTGCATCATGTTGACATATCTTCTATACTTCCATGATGTATTATTATTACCTTTGTTATGTTCTTAAACTCAACTCAACAAAACCTTGTCCCAATATTTTGAGGTCAACCATGAGTTATCTTATCTTCTTTGGTATTTTATTTAAAGTTAATTTTGGTCTTTCTCTACCTAACATTTATCTTTATGGTATAGTGTATTGTATAATTCTGTCACATGCATAAGCAACCTATTTTTTCTGATCATAGAACATACATGAGGCGTACATGTTGAACCCCTCCACTGCGCACCAAAAGGGCACTGGACTGGACCCTAACCTGAAGTTGATACCAAAAACAGTGAAATTGTGTTCTTTGGGTATTTTGGAAGTTGAAGGTTGGACCTGCGAGAATTCTTGATTATCGTCATTTAATTATCTAACAAGATCCCATATGTTCCCACCATATATTGTTCAGGACCCTATACTTTTGAACAAACATAGGAATAAGCAAGGGGTGCCAATTTTTTTGTTGTTTATGCGACGACTCATAATGATCTAACAGGTCTTTTCACAAAAACTATCTAAGTGTTTTTTTTTGTGTAAGTAAACGTTATCTTGATATGCCATGCAAAAGTTAAAATCCAATTACAGCACCAGGCAGGGTGCTCAAAAAACAGCAAAAGAGACAATCTGGTAGGAGCAGTGGTTGCTTGGCTAGTACTTCTGTAGAATGACTGATTGAGCTCATAAAATGTACAAGGAAAGTAACTTCCAAGCATCAGCTAATCTGCTAGCAGGAGATAGATGCCACATTTGAAGTGACATATTTGTGGGCAGAATCCTTAACCTCAAGAGTGATCAATCTATTCCTTCCCACATTAAGATCCCCTTCAGAATAGTTGCAGCAGCATTTCTCTTCCTCCAAAACTGTATAAACAGTAGCAGCTAGGCTTAGCTTCAGAATTTTCACATTTAGGGTGTGTTTGGATTAGGTATTAGGATTGACCGGATTGGACAACCCCATCCATCCCATACCCATTCAGCTGGAAAATACTTACCTTTCCACTCCCTGGAAGCATTAAGAATGAGAGACTGCCAAGGCACCTAAGAGTGTTTGTATCAATTGTATGGTTAAAATTTATTGCTCCACAAATTGTTTCTTTTTTTTTTTTTTTTTTTGGTGTTCACTTTATAAAGGAACAACTCTTTATTTTCTTTTTTTCCCCAGACTAATTCATTTCCTCATTCAATATATGCTAAGTTTTTAACGTAAACAAATATTTAGTCCCCAGCTTGTAACCATTATGCTATTTATGCAGACTTGGAATGGAAACTCATCTATGTTGGATCTGCTGAAGATGAAACTTATGATCAACTTTTAGAAAGTGTTCTTGTAGGGCCTGTCAATGTTGGAAACTATCGTTTTGTCTTGCAGGTAACCTTGTCAACTTCTTAGCCCATGGTTTGATGTGATTTAATAGTTTGATTATTTGTGGCATAAATTCTTACTTATTTTGGTTTTGTTGAGCATTCTACCAGGCAGACCCTCCAGATCCCTCAAAAATCCGTGAAGAAGATTTAATTGGTGTAACAGTGCTCTTGTTGACCTGCTCTTATCTGGGTCAGGAATTTGTCCGAGTGGGCTATTATGTCAACAATGATTATGATGATGAGCAGCTAAGAGAGGAACCTCCCCAAAAGGTCTTGATTGATAGGGTCCAAAGAAACATATTAACTGATAAACCTAGGGTCACAAAGTTCCCCATCAATTTTCACCCTGAAAACAGTGAAAGTGGAGAACAAGGCCCCCCAGCTCCAGCTGATCATCCAGCTGAAGTAGATGGACATGAAGAGCAGCTGATTTCTTCAACTGATCATCTTTCAGAAGATGAAGGACCTTAAAAGTCAGTGATGTCACTTAACTTCCCAGTAGATATATAGCAACCTTTTTCTAGGTCACGTCAATGTTGGAATTTCAAAGAATCTTGACCACGGAACCATTTTTTAGCTTTTCATACAGTCCATGCAGATATTCTGGATGATAGACGTACTGGGGCTGGTTTGTCATTTTGATTTTGACGCTAGATTGGACTTCAGATATTGTAACATAATGTTAGAGCTACAATTTGCGGTTTTGGAGTATTCCTCAGAGTTTACCATCAGAATGTTAGCCTTGTGAAAAGAAAAACTCGTGATTTTGTGGAATGCCAACAGGAGTTTCTTGCAATTTTGTGTTTCTAGAGTCAACTAAGAACCCCCTTTTGCCCTGCTCAAGCTTTCATCATAATGCCATCAAATGATCTGTTGGTGAGAAGTAAGTCGGGGAGCTTCACGCCAAGATGCAATAATCAGCAGTTAAACGGCACTTTGGAGATGCTAAAATTGAAGCCATATGTAACACTGTTGAAGGTCCATTGCCAGAACTGAAGCTAACACAGACCGCAGACCACTGTTGTTTTATGGATTCATTGCTCATAAACAAACTATGTTCTTCAATGGCGCTCGAACAGTCTCTTTCTTCACCATAAACTCTTGCCACTGTTCTGCAACCAATTTCTTGCCCTGCTCTTTCCTTCAGACCAGAATAGACAATCATTTCATTTTACTTCTCGGATATTGTCAGTGCATGTGTGTTCTTGCAAGCTGTAGCTGGTTTATTTTTCAGGTGATGTTGTATAATTTGGAAACATTCCTGGAGCCAATAAAGTGCAGTTTTATTGGAGTAGAAACCCGTTTCATGGTAGACAAGCCAAGGGTAAAGTTGTTTTACAACCTAAACATTATAAGTTCAAGTTATTAAAATAATCTTTCTACACGACACCAGACGGCTTATACTTTGACTTTTCCTCGATCACGTAATAGAAAAAGCCTGTTGCAAAGAATGGCTCATGACAGTTAAGAATTTTTCACATGGGAGTAAGGAACAGGACGTAGCTGTTGCATTCATGTGCAGTAATCAAGCTCGATAATCCTAAAGCTGATTCTGAACAACTAGGAGCTACGTGAGAGGGCAAGGAGAGACCTGGGCTAAGTTGTTCAAAATCATCCTTGGTGGGAAAAGTATGTCTTTTATTTGCTATGATACACTGGCAGCACATCCAGTGATTGATTACTAATAAATTGAAATATTAGAATACATGTTTCTAATCTCTATGTAGAGTTCAACAATATCTGAATCGAGTATTTTTATCGAGTCTCTTACACAAATAAATGCTTATACAGATCAGATTTTAATTCAATTTGAAATTGAAATTCAAGTTTAGAGCCCACGGCCTCAAATAGGAGTATTAATTGAACCAAATTTTACAAGCTTGACCCCAAACTTGTTGAACTCATTTTTTTTAAACGGGCCTAAAAAATTATTCAAACTTGGCTTGCTTAAAAAATGAACTGAGCTCGAGTCCGAGTAACTTGAGTATTTTATATATAAACAAACTAAACTTTACAAGCTCGAGCAGAACCTTATAAGCTCGTTTTTTTAAACAAGTCTAAAAAATTGTTCAAACTCAACTTTTTTAGAACACAAGTCAAACTTGAGTCAAGTCCTATCCGAACAGAGCCCAACCTGAGTAGCTCATCTCAATTAACACATGGTCTCAAATTTCGTGAACTACAAAAATCCTAATATCAAGTTCCCCCAAAACCAATGATCCCTAAATATTGAGCAGAGATTTAAATTACAAATCATCTCTTCACACATGCCTAGCAAAAATAAGAGAAACAAACAAACATGACCAAATAACCAAAGCAATGTTTCAGGTTATCTATTTGAACATAGCAGCAAAAACAACTAGAAGTATATCCTCAGCCTTGTAACTTCAGAGAAATGAACAAACCATGGCAGTTTCATTGCTCGCTCATTCAAAAAAGAAACTCTAAATTCTCGATCGAATGAGAGAGAACAGCACGACTATCACTCTTTAATTGTCGCTTCTGCGGCTCTTCTTGGCTGGGCCCATTTTCTGCAGTTCAAATGAAATAATAATTTTGACTTCACATGATCTTGTACAAGAAAGATCTGCAATCACCATGTAAGCTTGATATATTACCTCGTTCTTTGACCTCTTCCTCGGTTTCTGCCACTTTTTGTGATTCCTCCTTGAATTAGATGTCTTCTGGTAAGACTAATGCAGTCATAAAGATATATTAGTTCAGTCATAGACACATCAGGCCTTAAAACTACTCAAACATAGTAGGCATCTCAACAGCGAATGAGCAAACCTGTGCAGTAGCTACAGTTTGAGCTTGCTTCTCTAGATGGGTCTCTCCCTCAACTTTCCCATCATTTCCGAGCATGACTTTAAGCCTCCCTTCATGCAGTAACTTTTCAGATCGTGCGTGTCTCTATTAAAAAAAAATGAAGTATGTTATTTAGGAGCAGTTATTGAGAGCTTATGTCCAAGTGAGACACCCATTAACTAGTCTATCTTAAATTCAAACAGTCTTAAGGAGAAAGGTTGAGAAAAAGTGTGCTCCTGTCTACCTGAGAAGAGGGTGATGCAGAACGGGAAGGACTAAAAATCACAAAATATAAAGAGAAGAAGAAAGAAGAGGGAGTGGAAGGGGTTTACCTCATCCTCGCAAGGAATCGGTGAAGAAACACATAAATTCTCTACGGAGAACCACTTTTTATTTTATCACTCTCTCTAATTAAAAATAATTAGGATTACACAATTATTTATAGGTCAAATCCCCTACTAAAATAAAAATTACTTTCCTACTAGAATACTAAAAGAGTTTCATAATCAAACTCTCAAATCTCTATCCTACTAAACCTCTATAATAATTTCCTAGTTAAATTCTAATTAATACTCCTAGTCAAACAAATACTCATAAATCAAATAATAGTAATAAACTACCAATTACACTTCCCTTTGGACCAAAAATTCCTAGTCTTTCGCCTAGGCTTCCAAAGTCGATTGTATTGGTCCAACCAACCAATGGCTGTGCCATCAATTCTCCCCCGCTGAAAAGAACTCGACTCCGGCGAGTAAGGAGAAGGGCCAAGAATACCATCTAATAGAGAAGCTCTCTGAATCAACAACGAACTCTTATTCAATTGTAGTGTACGCGCATCTGTAGCACAAGTAAGAGTATACTTCTTTCTTCCAAGCACGCCCCACATGTTGTGCATCACGATCCCATATCCAAATGCGCCCTAAAGTATATGACAAAGTTTGAGAGGCAATACATCACACATGACGGTCTCCTTAAGACTTCCAATGGTGAATGTAACTAGACATCTCTTATCAACTTTCAGCTTCGTATTAATAATTCATGCTATATGATATGGTTCCGGATGTGGTTCAACTTTTAAATTTAGCTTCTTCACGACCTCTTCTGATACCACATTTGTGCAATTTTCCGTGTCAATCACTAACGAACATATCTGTCCTTTACAATAAACTATTGTCTGAAAGATTTTTCCTCGATGCATAAACTCACCATTAGCAACTTCTTTATTAGCAATAAGTAGAGGACGGAAAACACCCATAAAATGATTATCACCCAAATCATCAAAACTAACCTCACCCACATCAAGAGGTTCTACAATCTCTGTTTCAAATTTTGGCTCATCAGAATCATTATGCACCTTAGAATCTTCCTTTTCAACCACAGCAACAGATTTTGAAGGGCATTGAAAAAAGAGATGGTCAAAACCAAGACAATTAAAACATCTTGTCTTAAAATTAGTACTCCCTTGAGAAGAAGAATTAGCACTAGCCCGAGATGATTGTTTGGAGTAAAAGCAGTGTTATTAAAACCGGACCAGACAGACTGGTTCGACCGGTTGAACCTTTAACCGAGACCTAAAACGGTTTAGTTTTGTAGTCAAACCGCGCAAGGAAGTAAACTGCCAAAAAATCGTTAAATCGGTCGATTTTAGACCAAACCCGTGAACCAGGCTGTTTTGGTCAAACCGGACGGTTTGAATTCAAGGACTCCATATAAAAAAATGACTTTTTTATGGGGCATTTGCCCTAAATCGCCTTCACAGCTCAGGCGACTACCCAGTGTACCCACCACTCACCCATAACTCATACGACAACCCCACCACCCACCCACCCACCCACCACTTTTTTTTGCATGTGGCTTCGAAGAGGAGCGAGAGAGGCGAGAGTCTGAGAGACTCGAAGAGGAGGAGGCGCTAGGGATCAATCGACTGAGAAGAAGAGGGGAGAGTCTCTGTCAGAGGAGTCGTCTAATACTTGAAAATGTAATTTTTCCAAAGAAGGCAGTATTCTTCGATACTTTTTTTTTTGTACTGGGATTTCATAATGTATGTGTTTGATTTGGTTTTTGGGTTTTGGGGATGAAGATGAGGAAGAGTGAAGAGCAAGACAAATGGGTCTTGATATTGATGATTTTTGGGTGTAGACATACGGGTCTGTAACTGGGTATGCTCACGCCATTAAAATGATGAGCAAATCGCAATAATGGCACTGAAGGCAACAGAAAAAGGACGGTTTTTGGTTTTTGGGTTTTGATACTTGAAAATACTTTGTTCTGTCTCATTTTTAATCTGCTTAATATTTAATTTCATTAATTTTATGGATAAATTATATACATTGTGAATATATTTCATATTTTTTTGCTAAATTATTAGACTTTTTAATATATAACCAGTTCGACCAGTTGACCCAACGGTTAAACCAGTGAACTATTGACCCGGTCCCCTTACCAGTTCGATGGCCAATCCAGTTCTAATAACATTGAGTAAAAGTATTCTCTTGGGGTTTATTAGTGGACTTACCTTGATTTGCATCTACAACAGTTCTCTCGATCCGGGTTGGAGATGCCATAGAAAATCTCATATAAGATCTCGTTTTTAACTCATCTTCCATCTGATAAGCAACCTGAACTGCATCTGCCATGGTGTAAAGTCTACTTGCAGCTAAACCCGTAGAAATTTGTGAATTGAGACCTTGTCTGTACATGGCAATCATTACATCCTTAATCCATGGAACTTGACCGGGTGGCTAAGCTATAGAACTTTCTTGTGTACTCCTCCACAGACATAATCAATTCAATTGTGTAAACTATAGATGAGCTCGTTGCTTATAATTAGTAGGCACAAAGTAGCGGGTCATAGCAGACTTCATATCATCCCATGATCTATCAAAGTGAATTTGTTGGTACTTTACCCACCAAAGTCTTGCTATACCCTTCAATTTTAATTCTGCAAAGAATATCTTCCTCTCATCGGTCAAACGTACCATCTGAAAAAGCTTTCAATGCTATGCAACCAATCAAGGAATATCTCGGGATTATTGTCCCCGTGAAAATCTCCAACCTCTAGTTTAACCCCTTTATCAAAATCAAACAATCTTGAGTCTTCTCAAACTGGGCCTTGTGGTGAGGGACTTGTGCGAGCATTGGTTTTTGATTGATAGCCGATGAGGAGGAATTATGATTTACATGCATCTCCACTCCTTTGCCCTTTTTATCTAAGAGATAAGCTTCCATGATCTCCTTTAGTGATGTTATAGACGCCTCTAGTGAATCCATCCTCTCATTCATGGCCTTTTGTGAATCAATTTGTGTTTGGGATAAAGTCTCTACTTTAGTATTTAATTCGGGGTTAGAAACCATCTTAATAGAAAAAGTTTTAGGAATTTTTTTAAAAAAATCTGGGGTTAAATTGTAATTTTTGAAAGCTTTCGGGCCAAACTGAAATTTCAGAAACTTTGGGGGTAAAAATTGTAATTTCAAAAAATTAAGGGGTGAAAGTATAATTTCAGAAACTCTAGGGGTCATATATGTAATTTTGAAAAGGTTTAGGGATGTTGGTGTAATTTGGGGGGGTTAGGTTTGTGTTAGGAGGGCCGTGGGTGATTTTTTTTTTTTCTTTTGGTTGGACTTGGTTTGAGCTATATATATATATATATTTTGGGTTGGACAGTGTTTAGGTTTTGGGTATTATTTGGACTAGTAGAAAATTCTTTTGAATAAAAAAAAAGTGGTTGGGTTAAGGGGCAAAAGACTAAATAGTGTATTGTCTTCTTCCTCCACAACCCTAGGTTGGAACAACATCAATCGCAATGAACAACATCCCAAACAGCACAGCAGCGATGCTCAACGGTATGGGCTACGACAAAGAGTTTGGCCGTGTTTGAAGATGATGAAAGAAGACGTTATGAGCAGTAACAATTTTGGCAAAGATCCAACTATGAATTACAGCAGTAGAGACGAGAAAAGTAGCAAGAGATGATAGATCGGAGTTTTGCTCTGATACCAAATTGATGTAGAATGGGAAGGACTAGAAATCATAGAATATAAAGAGAAGAAGAAAGAAGAGGGGTGGAAGGAGTTTACCTCATCCTCGCAAGGAATCGGTGAAGAAACACATAAATTCTCTACAGAGAACCACTTTTTATTATATCACTCTCTCTAATTAAAAATAGTTGGGATTACACCATTATTTATGGGTCAAGTCCCCTACTAAAATAAAAACTACTTTCCTACTAAAATATTAAAAGAGTTTTATAATTAAACTCTCAAATCCCTATCCTACTAAAACTCTATAATAATTTCATAATTAAACTCTAATTAAGACTCCTAGTCAAACAAATACTCATAAATCAAATAATAATAATAAACTACCAATTACACTACCCTTTGGACCAAAAATTCCTAGTCTTTCGCCTAGGCTTCCAAAGTTGATTGTATTGGTCCAACCAACCAATGGCTGCGCCATCAAAAGGTGTTGTGGGGTTGTGTGGGGTGAAGGTTTAATCCTCCTACATGCGACAATGAACATTAGGCATATGCTACTCACACACTAAAAGTTAGTTTTGTTCTGTGTTCTTAGTAAGTGGTAAGTAGTAGTAGTAGTAATAGTAGTTTTAGCATTGGTTGCATTATTCCCATCTTATAACGTCTAAAGCAGGATTTGCTAGTCATGTCCATTCAACCATTGAACATGAAGCAAGCAAAAACACTATATAGCATGGTGGATAAACTGAGTGTTCGTACTTCTCTCATTGGAGTTACTCAACAGCCCTATCCCTTCCAATAAACATCCTCGCCCCTCTTTCTCCCAAGCAAAAGCAAAAGAAAGTCAATTGTACAGGAATCTTAGCACTTTTTAATTGGGTCAATGATAACCTCTCCATTATGATCTCTGAAAATGCCACCACTCCCTTTGGCACTGGTCTCAAGAAAGCAACCATCAAAATTAAGCTTAACCACCCAAAAAAGGAGGTTTCGTACTGAGAGGGACTTACTTTTATAAATATTACTGAGAAACTAGAGTACAATCTTTTTAGGTCAAAAAAAGGTGGAATACATTCAAGTTTTGAAGAAACCTAAAATTCAAGGCAGAAGAGGTCAAATCCCTAAAAAAATCCAAATGCTGCGACTTATCTCTGTCTTGAGCACGTCTAGTCATCAAAATCACCCATTTATCACCTCAAGGATCACTTTTAGAGACCTTAGGCTCTTCCAAACTAAACAATTTCCACGAGACCGAATTCCACCATGATGATAGCATGTCTAGGGCCACACCACACGAACCAAATCAAAATTCAAAAAAGAGAGGTAGATTAATGCATGAAAAGGAGGAGAAGAATTCTTAAACTATCTAAATGAACAATTAG